CCCAGGCCCACCCTTGGGTGCGCCCCTACCCAGTCATATGAAATCCATAGAATAGAGACTAATTTATTTATTTCAATTGACTGATTTCCTTATATGAACTGTTACTCAGAAAAATCGTGGAAATTGTTGCATGTTGCATTTATATTTTTGTTCAGTATAATTCCACTTTGACATTATGGGGTATTATGTGTAGGCCAGTGACAAACAATCTCTATTTAACCCATTTTAAATTCAGGCTGTAACACAAAATGTGGAAAAAGTCAAGGGGTGTGAATACTTTCTGAAGGCACTGTATTTTGTGCTAGCACAGACTAGCAGACGCTTCTTTATACCCTTTCCACTTGCTTGATTACTGAATATTTCATATTTAATCATGACCTTTAAATCAGAGCCAACGGGGAACAAGAAAACCTTGTCTTGTTCCACTACAGACTAGCGAAATCATGAAAAGCTCTGGCACTGTGGCACCATAGTATTGAATGTGCTTTCCTCTGTCTCTGTAAGCACGTTTACATCCACAGTTTTTATGCGAGTAAAGACATACCGAATAAAAAAAATCACTACAGATTTGATGGAAACAGGAAGTTTCGGTACAATTGTATAAATGCCGACAGACAATTTGTTCGTTCGGCATTGTGGGATCTTTTTGTGTCTGTAAAATTAAGTATGCGAGAAATAACGGTGGAAACGCCATTGAGCGCAAATAATGATATAATAACAATGATATCGAAGCAAATTTAGAGTCACGCAATGATATGGCGTGTGGTCTATGACTCGAGAAACCATACCGTTTATTAAACTACGGAATAAATACATTCGGATTAACTTCACAGGGTGGTGAAAGCAGACGATGATGAGCTTGATGCTCCTTTCCAATAAATATCGAGGGTCTTATTCTGGTGACATGATGATCGATGCTTGACTGCCATTTGACAAATAGAACTATTCTTGCTCTTATCCATAATAATCTCATTATGTAGACTACCCGCACTGTATCTGCGAGCTGTTGGCTAGGGTGCACGTGCCAAGACAAGAGTAGGCACATTTGCTATTTAACAGTTTTTGTGACAAAACTATCAGTAGAATTGAAAATGCGATGGAAACACATTGAACTTTCAATTTTTATTCGGTACATGAAACCGTAAAAGAAAAAGTAAATTTTGGGTGCACTAAGTCATCATGTACTGATTTTTTATCCGCAACAAGTCAGTTTGGTGGAAACACCACTGGTCGAAAAATACGCGTATTTTCTTTATGCAGATTTTAGAATATTTGCATGAAAATCTGTCACCAATTGGATGGAAACCTAGCTATTTATGCATACCATTTCATTTTAATCTATGGTTAATATTGTTGATTTTCCTCACAATTTTTATCTACCTGTTCCTGCATTATATTTCCTTCCTCAGTTTTGCTAAAACAGAGAAGTCCGTGCACGGGAAGGGTTAGTGGTGGGGAGGGAGGCCCATTAGTGGGTTAACAAAGTGTGGGAGTTGGTCAAGTATGAAGAAGAAAAATAATGTATGCACTCACTAACTGTAAGTCGCTCCGGATAAGAGCGTCTGCTAAATGACTAAAATATAAATGTCAGCTTCCTCTCTGGTGCCGTCTAGCCCTGCAGCCCTCTCTCCTTATCAGGGAAAGCAGAGGAAGGAGTGCCCAACAACAGGTTACTGCACCACTCCTCAGGGCTCCATGCTAAGCAAAACGAAGTGCGGCATTGGCATTTATTAATGTACTGTTGTTTCCAGTATTGGGCTATTTTAGGATAAATAGGAGTACCCCCCAGTACAGCCAAGATATCTAGAGTATATATGTAATTAATTAGATCTATATCAATAACCATCTCACATTCACCGGGCTGCCAGTGGAAGACTAAAGATGTCATGTTACAAAAGTTGTGGGTGGCCGTTTTCCAGAAGAGCACCACAAAATAAGCTCATATAAGGTGCATTTTGTGCAGCATGAACATATTACTTTGTTGGCAAAATGAATATGGCATTGGGACACCAGTATTCCCTGCTGCAAATGAGGTTTCTGTTACGTCTCACTGTTGCCGACAGGACTGGGAGGGAAGAAAATAGTTCCTGAGTGAAAGAACGACTCAGTTTACTCAATCTGACTCAGCAGGTTGTGAGCAAAATGCACATTCTATACCCTCCCCATCGGCTCAGGGCAAGATGCTTATCAGTGTCCCTGAATAAACCATATGAATGGCATGAGGCCAATGCTTGCTGTTGAGTGAATTAGACATTCTCTCATCTTCTTTGTGTGCTGCATGATTTTTTTGTATTGCTATGAGAATACACATTTGACACTATACTCAATAACACGACCATCAGTAACTCTTGTATTAGATTGGAAAGATCTCCTACTTTTTTAAATAAAAAAGATAAATGACTCAGTTTTCTAAGTTTAAGAAACTAATTTAGGGTCACAAAACCAGCACGCACTACAAAATAAATAGTAGTATAATCAACTTTGCGAAAAAATCTACTTGAACCAAAGCATTCATTTTTCATTCCATTACAGAATGTTTGAGACCTAACCTGGTGGAAACAGGAATGTAGGCTAGTATGTACGAGGACAGTCACGGCTCCATGATGATAGCAGAAGGCCATTTTCAAAAGCTTGGGATGAGATGTTTTTTTTTTTTTTTTTTTTGAAAAGCATCAGATCTTTTATTTACAGGCTGGCACAATTACAGTATAATCGAGTAACCGACGATGATGGATGAAGAACTTCATGAAAATAAAATAAAGAACAGCTGACTAAAGACGGGGCAGCCAGGCATTCATTCGGTTGAGTCAGTTTCCGCAGTAACACAGACCCTTTGCAATGTGATGAAACTTTGTTGCGCCTTGCTGAAACAAACAAAGTATTGTACCAAACAAGTCTTTGGTTGCCTAGGTAACACCCCCTCCCTGCAGCAGCACGGAGGAGAGAATGTGCGTATTAAATATATATATTTTTTACTATTCACATGATTATAATTGTGACCATGGTCATTTGGCTGACCAATAACCGTCATCCAAAATTCCATGACAGTCACAGCCCTATATACACTAATCTAGCTCATCAAATATCAGCTTCAAAATGACAAAGGGGTTGTGAGGGCTTTTATTTTTTGCCTCCAGTCATTTTACTTTTTTTTCTATTCTTATCAGAATGGTTCTGCTACAGCAGGCAGTGCCATAGTAACGGGATAGCCTTTTCACAATTACTGTTGTTTACGCAATCAAAAGTACGGCCCATTATACATCGCAATCTGGTTCAGGTGGGCATAATTTCAAAGCTTGTTCTATTGCAAATATGGCTAGCAAAATTATAAAATATAATCTTACAGTGTTAGGGTTTCACAAGGCATTTGAGAGAAGCAGGTTGTAATCGGTAAGCATAGAATGGAGTCATGAGTGCATTCAGATGCGTGGTCCGGGGCAAATTCTCTTCACAATACAACAAACATCAGTACAACCCAGGGTATAACGCAATAACATATTGTAACTGTACATCAAACATAGCGATCATAAAACATTCACACTGTATATTACATGAGTTTTATATGGTAATGTGAAGTGCCCATTTGTACTCACGGGTGTTTGGCTTGCTTGTATGACATCAAAGCTGTATTTATTATAATCCTCAACATCTCATCTTTCAAAATACATTATGGCAAAATAAATTCAAAAGATGCCCAATTAGCGGGAGGGATGTGGGCAACTTCCTGTCCTGCACTGTGCTCAAATTCAGAACGGCTGTCTGTCAAAACCCATAGAACTGTGAAGCGCAGAGCCAGAGCTCTGATGGCACGTACAGCATGTTACTGTATAGCCACTGTGTTCCAATTTAGACACTTATCAGTGTCCAAATCTGCCATTTTCAACCCGTATACAGGTATGAGTGTAAACCGATACCGCAAATCAACAACCCTATGAAAAGCTAACCATAGTTAAGGTCCAAGAGCCAATTATTAACAATTGGTACCACTGACATTGAGCAAACACTTTTCTTATTTTGACACAAAAGTAGTCTATCCAGCTATGTTTTTTCTCAGAATGGTTGAAACTCTCAGAAGGATGCAAAAGTTTAAACCTCTGCCATCTGAGGACAAGTACTCCAATACCACAGTTGCAACATGCACCATTCCATTTGAAGAGGATGTGGTTAGTCAGCTGGAGAATCAACAATAACTACTGCATGTTTATTCAGCTGAATTATTCAAGAAAAAGTTAAAATATTGAAAATCATGGAGTTTAATGGCTTACGAAAGAGCTAAGACATACTTTTTTAAAGATTTCATACCAATAGCATAGTATTTTGTCCACTCATTTGAAAACTCATATCAAACAAAATAGATGATATTCTATCAGCCATGGCTCGATCAAGATCTCCGTCTAGCCAGAGAAAACCTCAATTATAAGCCAGCCTTGGGTGTTAATTGCTGAGCGCTAGCAGACTCCCCCTCCCTTCACAGCTCCTCTAACTGATTGACATTTTTCAGTTCTGCAGTCAAGGGACTCCGTAATTGGGTTCATTGATTAAAGCCCAGTTATTACTGACAACACCACCGCTGTCCGAAATAGTCCAGATGGTCTCGTCTCCACTGGCTGCTCAGTATCTTCAGATACCAAACTGACATGATCTATCTCTTGTTGACAGCCAGCTCAGAGAAACTGTACACTGGAGCACCATCAATTGGGAGTGACAACAGAAATCAGAAATGTCAATAAAACATTTGTTTTAATCAAAATCTTTGATGTACAATAAGCCAAGAGAAAATAGTTCAATTTCTGTTAACAAGACTTGATATGAGATGAAACATAAAACATTGGAAGCCACACCTTGTGTCCCTAGTATCAGGTTTGTCTGAAAACAAAACATGCCCTTATTAAACTGGGCGCAGGTAGGAGACCGTACAAAAATAAAAATCCTCATCCCTCCTCAGAGAGGGACCATTCAACACAGTCGAATGACAAACTGAAAAAAGCTGTTTACCACAATTAGTCTTTAGTGTCCATGCCCTCTTTAGCGTCCATGCCCTCTTTAGCGTCCATGCTCTCCATTTCTGCATCACCATCACAATCACCATCATCCTCCACCTCAGGCATCTTTTCATATGCCTTCTCAGAAGGCTTCACTGTCACTCCATCCCACGTGGACGACTCCATCACCAGATCTGACCAGAGAGGACCGAACAGGTAAACGTGTGTGGGGGAGAAAGTTTAAATCACTAATAAAGTTGCTGTAAATGCCTCATGTTCAGGTGAGTTGACTTACGTGTAGCGTCTCCATCCAGACCAAGAATCTTCATGTAACCGCCATGAGACAGCAACCTCACCAGGGTCTGAGCAGTGAGGCACACCATGTCCTGGACAGAGCAAATATTATGGTCAGCATCTTGGTATAATGTGGAGAACACACTGCAAATGCATTGTTTGATACCTTAGTTTTACAAATTAGGCCACGACTACAGTCTTGCAGATTACTGCTTAGACAAGCAAAAAATAAACTGAATTCAAACAGAATAATTCAAGATTACATTCAGAAAGTGCAGGTTTACACTCTTACAAGATAGGATAAAATACGGGCCGGCAGGTAGCCTAGCGGTTAAGAGTGTTGAGCCAGTAAGCGAAAGGTTGCTGGTTTGAATCCCTGAGCCGAATAGGAGAAAAATCTGTGATGTGCCCTTGAGCAAGGCACTTAACCCTAATTGTTCCTGTAAGTCGCTCTGGATAAGAGCACCTGCTAAATGAACAAACATTTAAATATAATGGATATGGAGAGAGGCCGGTAGGCAAGTACCTGTTGCTCCAGGTTCATGACAGTGAATACACGGTAGTGTCCATTCTCACAGGGATCTGTGATCCCAGCTGAACCAGGCAGGAAAAGCCCTGATGACAGCATCTGCAGGCTCCGCCTGAAGGCCACATTGAGGGCTAGTGGCTGTCTGCTGGGGTTGTTCATGACTGCAGAGTGACCCTGTACAGAGAGAGAGAAACCTAACATTTTCACCACGGAAAAACAGACTTAGCAGGCAGGCAGCATCTTGTGTATTTTGACTGTTTTGTGTCAACGCTAAAATAGCAGGACTGGCCATTTCTTTGGCCATGTAAAGTGCAGTTCGCTTGGGTAATAAATGACACCTAGAGACCCTTGAGTGCGTATCCAACTGCTGAGCAGACCAAAACCTCTCCTCCAAATGAAGCTTGTCAGGGGCAGGCATACTACATGAGGTTCAGTAAATCTAAATAGTACACCCACACTGAAGTCTGTAATGAGGACACACACACAGGCTAACATATGGGAGTGCTTTTTACACCTATGGAGGTTCAACACAAACTTTCCAATGAAGACAACCAGTTTGCTTAAATAGGGTCAGGACAGACATAAATCGATAAATTGAGTGTATGTTGTATGCAGAAAGCCGTGCATGGGGCTCACCAGTAAGTCCAACATCCAGGGGGTTAGGGGTTCAAACCCTGGGAAGCGGGTCCTCAGGTCCTTCAGCAAACGGACCAGGACCTTCACCCTGATAGGCCAGAACCAGACCGCACACACTCAAGACACAAACTGATATGTTTGGATAGGTACATTTAACATCAACAATATTTCCATTGTTCTCATTTCATTCCAAAATTGACCGTTAAGAAGAAAAAAAACTACTGATGAAGCCAAGTGTGGGTGTGTGTTCGCAGTGGCAGCTCACGTGGAGTGGGAGGCATTCTCTTCAAACCAGCGAGCGTGGCGAACTGCAGCCAGGGAGTTCTGCAGGAGCTTTATATCGACTGTGGAGAAGGGAGGCAGCCAAAATCAATCAATATATCTGGCTAAACCTGTTGACATTGATGTTTTAGTCCCCCATGTCCACTATAATAGCAATATTTCAGCTACTGACTTCTTTGATCAGAGGGTACAGACAGTAGAGGTGAAAGGTTAACAGCTAAACCATCCCCATATCTCTGGCTGCCTCCATCCACCCTTCATCGCAAGTGCGTGACTGTTGATCCTTGCTATACTGTACGTACTGTGTACATCCGGCTCTAGCTTGCGCATGTTGTGGGGCACGGTGGCAATGAGGATCTTCACGGTGGCGTCGGCCGAACTGATCTCAAAGCCTGTCTCATTGGGCAGCATGGAGAGTACTAGGGAATCATATTTAAACATATACTGTAGATTACAAATGTCATAATCTTGGAAACCCAGACCTAAAATCGTGCATAATTGCATCAGATCTGAGAAAAGATTGAGGATAATGTAAAGAAAAGTGACGTGCATTACCTTCTGAAGGGTCCTGTGTGCGTAGGGTCTCCACCACCTTGTTTCCCAGAGCTGTCACTGTCTCCACTGGGAGAAACAGTCATATTACTGGTCAGTTTGGATCATATTCCATCCACAAACCCATTTCCTCCGAGTAGTGATCATCAAGTAATAGTGTATCAAGTAATAGTGATATTGGAAATGCATTTAGGTAAAAAATTACCAGAAGGCAATATCTTGAGAATAACAGCAAGGTCAGCAACATTGTGTCCTGTTGTCATGGTGCCTTTCTTGTAGGAGCCCACCTGTCTCATTTCCTCAATTTCCTAGAGTTTGAATGAAAACAATGTCACATTCAACTCAACTAACTTGTTTGTCATTCCCTCATCCCTGCATTTGTGGATTTACCAAACTGTATTTCTCTGGTGAGAGATAAAATGTGACACTGTAGTACGTACCACTTCATCAGCCCCAGCTGAAACGATGAAGTTGTCAATGACGTTGGTGATTTTGGTGACCAGTGACAAGATGGATGACTAGAAGAACGAGAGAAAGGGTAAAACTGCTGTCTGATGGCAGTTCTAATGTGCTAGTTTAATTGCGGTCATCCTAGACACTGGTTCAAAACAGGTTAAGAAACACTGGTCTATGAAGCACACAGCTGGAGTGAAGTAACACATACGGCGCCATAAAACTTTGGAGCAGTGCTGCCACCAAGTGTCTGAAATCAAACTGCCATAAACACACACAACTTGTTGAGCACTTGCAATCCGCATCACTGCCACAACAGTTCCTGCCCAAAAACATTGCAGACACATGCCAGATCTTACAACGCCTATTTTCCTGTATTTGATTTACTGTTGATATGGATTGAAATGTAATAAACATGATTGTATCTGCGGGGAAATGCAGACAGATGCATTCCCTTGGGGAAGTGAAAAGGAGTTAACCATGGATGTTTAAGTACCATATTTAATTAATGCTCTTACCTTTGACCTGTATAAAATGTCTGCCAAGTATTGAATGTTGTGTAAAGTTTGGCTCCAGACTGGATGCGAGGACACTGATAATATATCTGTGACAGTGGCTATGCTTCCATCCAACTGGGACAGATTTTCAAGCAAATATTCTAAAAACTGCATAAAAACAAAACCAATTCTCACCAGAGATGGGTTTCCATCAAATTGACTTGTTGCGGATAACAGTCTGTGCGTGATGACGTAGTGCACATAAAAATAACTTTTGTGGTTAAATTCCCATGTACTGAACAAAAATATACAAGTTCAATGGGTTTCCATCTCATTTTCAACTCTACTGATGGTTTTGTAAGAAGAAATGTTGCGTTAAATAGCGAATCTCTGGTCTTGGCACGTGCGCTCTAGCCAACAGCTCGCAGATACAGTCCGGGTAGTCTACCTACACGATGAGAGAAATTCATTTGTCAAACGGCAGCCAAGCATCGATCATCATGTCATCAGAATAAGACCCTCAATATTTATTGGAAAGGAACATCAAGCTCACTACTGTGCACTTCACCACCCTGTGAAGTTCATCATAACTTATTTCATCTGTAGCCTAATAAACTGCATGCTTTCCCGAGTCGTAGTGAGAGGACCAAACAAGATCATTGCGTGACTCCCAGTTTACTTCAATATGATGGTTATTATATCAATATTTGCTCATAAAGGCATTTCCACCGCCATATCTCGCATACTTAATTTAACCGACACAAAAACATCCCACCTTGTCTAGTGTAATTCCATCAGGCCTGTCGTGACATTTTTATCCATCATGTACTTTATTCGCATATAAAGGTTGGATGGAAACCTGGTTACTGTGTGATTCTGTAGCAGCAGGGGTGCATTAATTACGCTGATTCTGTTGCAAAATGTTTTGCAACAGAAACCGTTTACTCCAAATGGAAAACAAGTTTCTATTGGACAAATTCAGGTAGGTCCCTCCTCATTTCGTTCCATTTGCTTCTTAAAGGTAAACAGTTTCTGTTGCAAGACGTAATCAATATACAACCCTGATGTTGTGACTTCCTACAAGCCTCTCGGGCTGGTGTTTACAGAACATTCGGTGCTGTGTGATTAATATATAAGGGCCTTCTCAGAGAAGGCCTGTTAGACATTTTCTCTGCTCCTGTTCTGGAGGTGTCTCCCCTTTGCAACTTGTAATAAACCAGATTGATTTTTTATATATTTTATCCAATACTGCTTTCCTTTTTGTTCACATGGAAATTCCCATTACAGTATATAACATATCAGCTAACCACATCATATGATAGAGCAATCAGATACCCTGTCGATTGACTTGGCACGCAACCATTGGTTGATGCAATGCTGCGCCTGCACATCTAGTTGGGCAGGAAAGCGATCATTAACAACATAAGTGGATATTGTTACCAGCTTATTACAGACACACAACTAAAAAAAGTTATTGGTGCTGTACTGTCTGGTCAGGCCACCTCACGTGAATTACTCCAGTTGCTCACAAGCAGCAGACTGTACATGTCTAAAATAGTAAACGGTCATGTAAACACGTGTGCTTAGTCACAGACCTGTTCAACAGAGGTGGGGCCAAGGTCCTGGTTCCTCTTCAGTAGGGCCTCACTGAAGGCTGTCTCATCAGGGGCCGGCTTCAGGCGAGGGAAGGCCATTTCACACTGAGACAAGGGGAAATAGATATTTATTAACACAATGATGGCAAAAATATAATCTCAGTCATTATGTTGTATTATGTAAGTAGCAACATCTTCCCATCCGTCCAACTATCTCTAGTAGAAGGAAACTCTGCATCTAAAGAGTGCTGTGGAGCAGGATGGTGAGAACGAAGTGTGGAAGCTCAAGGATGGGAATATTAACCACAACTTTGGTGTTCAATATATCAACATACGGCATTTCTTTGAGATTGAACAAGCATACTCACCACGTACAGGTCAAAGGGGATGTGAGGGATAAATGGGCGAAAACTACAAACGGAGGAGATCATACAGGCTATAAGCACAGGGCCATTTCCCAGATGAATTTACTAAAAGCCAAATGCACTCGAATTTCAATGCATTCCCTGAGTTGTTTTGATTTGAAATATAATTGACCTCAAACATTACTGAGGGCGCACCCTTTGTAATGTTCAGTGTGGTGTTCAGAAGGCGCTTACCCTGGTACAGGTCCTCCACCGCGAGCCCCAAAACGGCCTCGACCCCTCTCGCCTCTGGCAAATGAAGAAGTGACAACACATTCATAAACTTGATTCAACGGTTTTAAGCAAAGCAACGTATGATGTAACATTAAAAGACGTTCAAAGTGATGTATTAATAAACATGTAAGGGGCGTGCTCTAGCACAATAGCTAGCAAGTTCCCTAAACTATGTATACCACACGAGGTAACGTTACGTTTACGGCGCTAACGTTAGCTAGCTAGAACACCTCGAGCGAAGTTTTAAGTAGTGTTTTAGCGTGGTGAAATGCGTTTGTTGATTTATTATTGTAAGCTCTCTAAATCACATACGTGTAAAAATATGTACTTTTACCTCATTGTGTGAGACGTTGTGGAAACTTCCTTGAAATCGATATTGAAAATGTGCACTTCCGCAGCTAGAAGTGTTCTACCCTGCTGCGTTTGCTTGCTAGAGGGAGTGGCTGCTTCTTCTTCTTCTTCTACTTCAGTGGGGTTTATCGGCGGTTGGCATCCAACGTTGTGGTGCATTACCGTCACCTACTGTACTGGAGTGTGGGCCAGAGACAGGGAGAAACTAAATCCTAACTGCCAGCCCCGTTGCTCTTAAAAAAGATAACAAAATATTTGAGAATATTTCTGATGACGTTCTACTCAATATACTCTTTAAACTAATTTCCTGTATCCCCTTCTCCCTCATACTAGATCTCATCCTCTCTCTTTCCCTCTGATACTGCCCACACTGTAGCAATACATGCCTCACGTTCTCAGTTTCCTGACAATAATCACACTTTCCTGTTGGATGCTTTCCTATCACATTTAATGTCTTAGTCAACTGGCTGTGTCCCACCCTTAATCTTGTAAAAATAGCCTCCTCTCTTCTGTCCCTTCCTGCCGCCCTCCCCTCCCCGACTTTCCTCTGTACTTGAAATGCCTTCCCTTATTATCTCTATCCCACTGCTCCTGCCACCTCTGCACCATCACTGTATATATCAGACTTTTTGCCTCTGCCTTGCTCATTGAAACTTTAACATCAACATCCCCACTACTAAGTGCTTGTTTAGCCTGTTCATCTACTGCCTCGTTCCCCTCCACCCCCACATGGGCTGGGACCCAAGTAAATCTTATCTGTATACCCATCTGTTTAATCCTGCCATGGGTTTGTAGCACCTCAGAAAGCAGGTATTGTCTGCTACGTGAGCTAAAGGACTGGAGACTCATTAACACTCAAATCAAATCAAATCACATTTTATTGGCCACATGCGCCGAATACAACAGGTGCAGACATTACAGTGAAATGCTTACTTACAGCCCTTAACCAACAGTGCATTTATTTTTAACAAAAAAGTAAAAATAAAACAACAACAAAATGAGTGTTGAGAAAAAAAGAGCAGAAGTAAAATAAAATAACAGTATGGAGGCTATATATACAGGGGGGTACCGGTGCAGAGTCAATGTGCGGGGGCACCGGCTAGTTGAGGTAGTTGAAGTAATATGTACATGTGGGTAGAGTTAAAGTGACTATGCATAAATAATTAACAGAGTAGCAGCAGCGTAAAAGGATGGGAGTCTTATGGCTTGGGGGTAGAAGCTGTTGAGAAGTCTTTTGGACCTAGACTTGGCACTCCGGTACCGCTTGCCGTGCGGTAGCAGAGAGAACAGTCTATGACTAGGGTGGCTGGAGTCTTTGACAATTTTGAGGGCCTTCCTCTGACACCGCCTGGTATAGAGGTCCTGGATGGCAGGAAGCTTGGCCCCAGTGATGTACTGGGCCGTACGCACTACCCTCTGTAGTGCCTTGCGGTCGAAGGCCAAGCAGTTGCCATACCAGGCGGTGATGCAACCAGTCAGGATGCTCTCGATGGTGCAGCTGTATAATTTTTTGAGGATCTGAGGACCCATGCCAAATCTTTTCAGTCTCCTGAGGGGGAATAGGCTTTGTCGTGCCCTCTTCACGACTGTCTTGGTGTGTTTGGACCATGATAGTTCGTTGGTGATGTGGACACCAAGGAACTTGAAGCTCTCAACCTGTTCCACTACAGCCCCAACGATGAGAATGGGGTGTGCTCAGTCCTCTTTTTTTTCCTGTAGTCCACAATCATCTCCTTTGTCTTGGTCACGTTGAGGGAGAGGTTGTTATCCTGGCACCACACGGCCAGGTCTCTGACCTCCTCCCTATAGGCTGTCTCATCTTTGTCGGTGATCAGGCCTACCACTGTTGTGTCGTCTGCAAACTTAATGATGGTGTTGGAGTCGTGCCTGGCCATGCAGTCATGGGTGAACAGGGAGTACAGGAGGGGACTGAGCACGCACCCCTGAGGGGCCCCCGTGTTGAGGATCAGTGTGGCAGATGTGTTGTTACCTACCCTTACCACCTGGGGGCGGCCCGTCAGGAAGTCCAGGATCCAGTTGCAGAGGGAGGTGTTTAGTCCCAGGATCCTTAGCTTAGTGATGAGCTTAGAGGGCACTATGGTGTTGAATGCTGAGCTGTAGTCAATGAATAGCATTCTCACGTAGGTGTTCCTCTTGCACATGAACACTGCACATGAATCAGAGCAAATAACTACTCTGTCTTGTTTGACTTCCTCCACCCACTGCAAGGCCAACAGTATGGCCATCAGCTCCACCGTATATACAGCCAGATGATCTGTAATATGTTTCCTGACTTCCACCCCACATTCCTGCACTACAAATGCTGACCCATTATGTCCTTGGATCTTTTGAACCATCTGTGATATGGCCACAAAATCCTGATACAGTTTCCAGACGTCTCTTAAAGAAATCAGATGGATCAACACCCTCCCTATCTTTCTGTAGTCTCTCCAACACTTCTAGATCAACTACTGGAGGCAGGAGTAGCCATGGTGGATTTACAGGAATAACTACCGTTGACTGTAAGTGGTAGTGAAACAAAAATATTATATTGCGGGAAAGTTGTGTGTGTGGGGGGGATCCCGACATCATACAAAATACAATAACTAAATAAAATAACCATCCCACTCCTTCAGTCACAGTTCAAATAACATCCCTACACAGCCTCAGGGGCCTATGAGGACGAAACATTCGTTGACAGGATTCCTTGTAATGCCTAAAATCCATAAGTCCCAAAAAACATTCAGCCACACTCACAAAGATGCCTATTTTCTCAGATTTTCTCTTTGTTTGCACTGTGCAGTTGATAACCAATGCAATAAACGCTACAGAGTCCACCTTCTTAACATGCAACATGTCAGGATCCCTCTGTTGACAAGGAATATCCACTGGTGTCTCTACTCCTACTACCATTCATTTCTTCCACTCTTCTCACTGCCTCCAGATAGGAGACATGCTGGACATCCCATATTCTTGACTCCTTCTCACTAACAGGGCACTTCAGAAATTCAGGCGCATGTTCGCCACCACAATTGCAGCATTGATGCTCTGCTTGCATATGATACTCCTCCCATCTATACACACTTGACACATGACCAAATCATTTGCATTTATCACACTGCATGGGTTTGGGCATGAAGGTTCTTACAGGGTATCTCACAAATCCCAAATACACGTGAGAAGGGAGAAACTCTTCTTCAAAAAACAATAGAATGGATGGAATGGGCTTCCTCACTCCATCGACCATGTGGATCAGATGGTGTGTACCAACCATTTGATCCAATTCTTCACGTATATCCTTTGCATTCACTTCTAGCGCCACCCCAGACATAACCCCCTTGATAGGCGCCCTGCTTCGAAGATCCACACACTCAAATCCGATATCTTCTTGAAGTGCAGAGCATGCTCCGTCTGTTCTACTGATGCACAGAAAACCAAAATAAGCCCACTTCTGATAGATTAATTATTAATGACTAATTATTACACCCTGAAACTGTGTATAATGTGTTAGAAATGTGTGAGTGTAGGACCAGTAAAGGCTATGGCATTGAGCCACTATTTAGCAATGTGAGTAAGAGTTAGGCCAGACAACAAAGACAACTGAGAAACTAAGATAAAGAGGCCTCCCAATTTAGGGAGGGGAGAAACTGTTATGAAAACATGGTGCAGAATATTGTGAGAACGGCAATAACTGAGTAATGCAGGGAGTAGGCTATGTGTGTGTGTGTGTGTGTATATATGTGTGTATGCATGTGTGTATATGTGTGTGTGTGTGAACTGATGGTCAGTAGAGCAGTTTTAGAGTGGAAAACTACAGCCCACCTACAGATTTTTTTGTATGACGTATGAGTATAAAAGATGGACTCTGAAATTGTGATGGCAGAATTCTCAATGAATAAATATCTCTGACTATGCAGACCGGGACTCTGGCCGTTACTTAAATCCCAAAAGACGTACAACCTTTTGGGAGATGCACAGAGACACTGAAATAGTTTGTTAAATAATTCACGTAACAACTTCTTGTTACTCTCACCGACGCCATCTTGTCCAACGCATCCACCATTTTCATAGACTTAAAATGGATCTCCCAGGTAACTCCATCAATCCAAAAACCTCACTCCGACCAAAAAAATAATCAGAACTAGGCTTGGATTTACTAGATTCTACTACCACTTTACTTCTCTTATTTCCTTTCATATTCGCCATTGAATCCAATCCTTCTCATCTCCACTCGACGCCCCATCTGATTCAAACAGAACATCCAGTTCCACCATCTTCTTCGATGAGGTTTATCAGCGGTTGGCATCCAATAAATGTTGCATTACCACCACCGACTAGACTGGAGTATAACTCCCTTATACTTTGCTTTATAAATACTATAATAAGAAGAATTATAATACCCTACCATCTAACTCTACACTCACAAAACATTAAAACAAATAAAAATAAAAAACATACTCCACTATTTAAATCTATTTAGTCCTACTTCAGGCCAACAGCCTGAAAGGATCGGACATCGCCACTTAACACACCCTGTAACTCTTCTGATGTCAAGTCTCGCACACCCAAATACCTCTCTACAGCTGCCACCACAACCTCTATTTTCTGCGACTTACATTCCATCCCTGCAGTACAGTTGATAACCATTGCTATAAATGCCAAAATTCCAATCTTACTAAAACATATATCACTTTTTGGTTTATCCCTCTGTACTGGTATAGGTCTACTACTCACACCACTCCTCTCAGGATCCCTCCCCCTTGACCAATCTTCCTCTACTTTCTTCACTGCCCCAGCATATGACAACTTCTGCACTACTCTAACCCTGGAAACCTCAACCTGCCTCTCTCACATGGGACATTTCTGATCTCCAGCCCCATGGGCATCCCTACAATTAACACATACCACTACTTTCCCCAATGTTACACATTCCTTTGTCTCATGCCCTTCTGCACACTTCTCACACCTCCCTCCTACACACTGCTGCCACATGCCCATAACAACGTAATGTATTCGGCACAAAAGCTCGTACCGGATAACTTATATATCCTAACATCACTTTGTCGGGCAAAGACTCAACATTAAAACTCAGAAGAATAGACAATGACTCTTCTGTTTCTCAGCCCTGTCTGCGTCGTACCAAACGACGAGCATAAAAAACACCGGGAATCTTCCCCTTCAAATCAAATCAAATTTTATTGGTCACATGCGCCGAATACAACAGGTGCAGACATTAGTGGTTAAGAGCGTTGTACCAGTAACCGAAAGGTCGCTGGTTCTAATCCCCAAGCCGACTAGGTGAAAAATCTGTCGATGTGCCCTTGAGCAAGGCACTTAACCCTAATTGCTCCTGTAAGTCGCTCTGGATAAGAGCGTCTGCTAAATGACAATTTTTTTTTTTTTTTTAATGCTTACTTCAGTTGGTCAGCTTTCACATTTACCGCTACCCCAGTAATCACGCCTTTCAATGGCGCCCTTTTCTTGAGAGCAAAACAATTCACATCTCTTGCCCCCATTCATTTAACACGGAGCGCCTGCTCCCTCTGACCAGCAGAAACACAAACAATTATCACTAGACCATTTCTGGTTACCCTCACCGATTCCACAGCACCCAACTCTGTTTTCACCCACCCTGAAACCACAAATGGATCAGCCAAAAGGACAGACTCCTCTTTATCCTGACCCTTGGTGCAAACCTCGGGCTCCGAGAACTTCACCACACCTACCCAGGGGCGGTGTGTTCATTAGGGCGATATGGGCGACGCACTGCCAAACGGGAAAAGGAAGGGATTTTTTTTCTAATCAATTATATCACGGCAACAGTAGTTCAGTGTTCTAATCTAGACGCCTGATCTGCCAATAAATGTCCAATCATGCTAAAGTCGTGCTTCAAATGTCCCCGCCCGTTTTGGGGCGATTTCAGTCAGGTTGAAAATCGCCCAGAAGTCTCTCATAGCCTCTAATGTAAAATATTTTTTTTTCAAATATCTGAGCTTTCAATACAATCTCTATGGGTTTCTGAGGGCTTGCACTTACGCGCTTTCGTCATACGTAACGTAACGATGAACGTAACTAAGAAACTACTCTTTCACCCTGAAGGCGGCAAAGCAGACAGCACCGCTTGGACAGCGACTGGTGTAACCGACATGCACCATCTTTCAGAAAAGATTAAGAAAAATGAGCTGTCAAAGACCCACATATAGCTGTTTGAGATTGTCTGCTTTTGGGAGAGTGAATATTGCCACTCAACTGGATGAGGGATACAGGCTAGCTGTCCGCCGCCACAACGATGAGGTTAGCAACAGCAGAGTCGTGAACACTGTCTACGAGAATCGAGACGACCTCATAGAATGTTTTGAAGCCATCCGGACGGGTTCATTGGGTTCATTTGACCAGCACACCTTGAGAGAGGCAGCTGGCTACGTGAGGATACTACATGATGAAGATTTAATTTTTTTCCTGCGGCTTTTTCACAAAATCATGCCCCACGTCGACATTCTGTACCAGAAGCTACAGAAGAAGGACATCGATGCTGTCTTTATCAAACGTGCCCTCGACAGCTTCACAAGCAAGTGCAGGCCATAAGGTAAGATTAAACAATATCAAAAAATGTGGTAAAAGCTCTTGTTGATCCTGCAATCTGAACAAATACCAAGATGCTGTATTTTCAGCTGATATTTCATTTGTTTATGGAAATGCATATTGTTTATGCAGTGTTGAGGAATGTGAAAGAACACCCTTGATTTTTTTTACTGTGATAACTTATTTTGCTTTTGTAAGCCAACACTTTTGAGATCAGTCAATAAATGCTTCTGGTATTGACTTATATGCTGCCCCTGTCTTCATGTTGTTGCTGGACATATCTTTTTAAAAATGTGTGTAGGTCACCTAAATCATCAGAAAAATCGCCCTCCCTGAGAATTTTTTCAGGAGCCGCCACTGCACCTACCACCTCCGATACCTTGCCCTCATTCACTTCCATTTCTCCTATTGTCTTCAACTCACTCTGCTTACACTTTCTACCATTCTGCTTTAACAATCTCCCTTTTCCCCGCCATTTTTAACTGACTCATTTACATTTTAGTCATTTAGCAGACGCTCTTATCCAGAGCGACTTACAGTTAGTGAGTGCATACATTTTTCATACTCATTCTCATTCCCACCCTCTTCCTCCCTCTCTCTTATACCTCCTATGCCTCTTTTTCCCGCCATTCCTCCTCCGTATTCCAATATAACTATCCTTATGATAGTACTGCATTTCTCCTGACATACATCTAGTTCTTGCATTGTCTACGGACGCCATTTCTCCTCCGTGAATTACTGGCTGTCTGCGCCCATTATGTCGCAATCTGATCTGCGGGTCTTTGGACGTGCGTCCTCAGTAAACTCCTAGACTCTAAAGTGTTCTGAGTCATCCAACTACCCTTGACAGTGGCTTCTTCTTCTTTGGATTTTATGGCAGACTACATCCTATAAGGTGTATTGCCGCCACCTACTGTACGGGTTAGTAAATTATATGTGGGCGTGGCTAAAGTGTGAGAGCGTTTGCATGCACCAATGACGGGTCCACCATGAGAATGACATGGGTGACACAATGGGCGGGTTTATTTTGTTTTGCATGGCCCAGTGCCCTGGGTGATCAGAGTTTGCACATTTTAGACCATTCAATTGGTCCTTAAAGTGGCACTTCAGGCTCCTTGTCATCTCACTTAACACCTGATTTCCATAACAAAAGGCACATCTCAATAGGGGCTCCAGGTAAGTCATGACAGCACAAGTGACAGCAATTGTTTCTCAAGCAAGGGGGGAGGCAGATGACATCACGGATTCCCATTAGACCAACTCCTTGAATGCCCTACTCCTTAGTTTGCAGTTGTGCCTAAAAAACAATATTTTGCTCAAAGCGTTTTTTTCCACCCTTAAGTGTGTGTACTTTACTGCATTTATACTTGGGATATCTCTTTTCAACAGTAAAAGTTCAAAATCGCTGGAGGCCATCTTTAAATGAAATCTCCAACCACCTGGGGCACTGAGCCATGCAAAACTAATTGGCAAAGATAAATAATGCAAAGTAGTGCTGCTTATCATTTTAAGCAACACCACTGAATTTGCTGTTGATGTTTTGGTGATTATTTACATAGTAATAATGTGGTTGTAATTACTACTCCATAGTGTACTTGGTCAATACCCTGAACAATGTGGAGAGAACTTCATTGTGCCACCATTTGAAATAATGCTTGTTCTGCATTTCCACCCATTCCCTTGTAAGCTGCTGATCAAGTGGTCCTCTGTAGCTCAGCTGGTAGAGCACGGCGCTTGTAACGCCAAGGTAGTGGGTTCGATCCCCGGGACCACCCATACACAAAAATGTATGCACGCACGACTGTAAGTCGCTTTGGATAAAAGCGTCTGCTAAATGGCATATTATTATTATATTATAAGTGAATTGATACCATGCGGCCAAAAGTATTTGAGAGTTTCCACATACTGTATTGAGGGCTTGCAAAACACAGGGAAGAATATCACCAGTTTTTACTGCTGTGGACTACATGACCCACTACATTTTTTCATGGATTTCTTCAATGCTCTGAATAGTCAAACTTCAGGTAGGCTATATAATTACTATAAAGCAAAAACAGTATTGTTCCCATTTAATAAATATAAAGTAAAGCACATAAAATAGGACACCAGCAACCACTAAAATTAGGATAGCAAGTTATGTGAAGAGTATACATTTGGACCACAATGTCATGCTTAAGATAAGGACATGTTTGGATTGTACACACTGTTTATCTCTTAACCGAATGAGGGCCAAAGGACAGTTTGCTTACAGTGCAAAATGAGTCTCTCAGCATTCAGTTATGAGAGCTGCAAACTACATTGAGCACAGATGCCAGTCAGAAACTAGCTAGGCAGTTTCACAAACATGTTACTCTACACACGAGTAGGTAGTTAGTCCAGAACATAATCCATCGGTGTAGGCTCACTTTCAATGAGTGTGTGTGTGTGTTGTACACCAAGAACTGCTTAAAGTATGCATAGCCAAAACAATATATTAATATCTGTGGTGTTTTTCCAGCTACAATCTAACAACCTTCATCCTTCCCACAGGATGTGCTAACTAACTCCTCAGAGTTCAAAGTTGGAAATGTACTAAAACCTTTACCATACAAACATTAAGAAGTGGTACTTAAATAGAAAAGTCAAAACAGTCAAAAAAATGTAACCCATTTTGAGGACCATTCCACCGAATCCCAGATTAAACCTTGCTTGCACCACAGCACCAAAAAAGAGTAAGGCCATGGTTAGGCATTTAAGGCACCCAAAGGGGTCTGGTTGAAAACCAATGTGGTAATGGGGCAGCATATTGGACTTGTCCATAACGAATGCAAGAAGCTTTGAAGAGCACAATAAAGCAAATGGAATGTAGTCAAACTAGTTCATCAACACTGTCTACATCTCATCAGCGTGGGTTGGTTTGGTGGGGTCAAGGCTTGTGCTCCCTTTTCCTGTTGCTGACACCAGGCCCAGGGCCAGGGGTTCAGTCTGCCCGTCAACCAGAGTCGAGCTGTTCCCTGGTTGGCTCTCCTCTAGGGCCACACCCTCAATGTCAGTGATTTCGGGACTTTCTATTGGTTGCTTTAGTATTTTGGAAGCATCCGGGGGATCTGATTGACTGAGGTCACGGGAAACGGGTAGGGACTCAGGCTGAATGATATGGTTGTCCACATCCTCAGCAGCTTGCAAAGATGAAGCAGGATCTGTGAGGATGTTTCTGGAGATAACTGAAACGGTAAAGAAGAGGGAAGGCTATTTAACTTTCATCGTTTTCATAAGAAAAATCTATTATTAATTCCTAAATGGATAACTAACCCCCTTTTGGTGTATAGTCCTCTTCTATGGATGTGGCGCCCCAGTGGAAGGGGCTGTAACTTGGGAAGATGATGAGGCCCAGAGAGAAGATGATAATCTGTTGGGAAAAAACACACACACGTTCAATTCACTTTTTTAAAGATCACCCTGAAAGTATCCAAAGGCATGGAGGAAAGACATGTTGATCTCACCATGACGCAGGTGCTGGTCTGTGCTGCTTTAGTGACCGTCTGCTTGATCAGAGACTGTAGTCTGCGCAGCTGAGCCAGGAGAGACCTGTGCATGGAGATATTATAAAAACACCAGAACAAACAAGACACGAACATCATCATTGAGCATCATCAGTGCAAAAAGGTGATGTTAGCCAATTGACTTACATGTTGTGTTTCTCCAGCTGTTCCACGGTCCTCTGCAGCTCTTTGTTTTGGGCTGAGCAAGCCGCTGCCCTGAGACACAGACAATACCTAGGGTCACTGACAGAAAAGCATTCCTACTGTCCGACAGTGTCGCCCAATTGGGGAGAGTCAACAATAACTCAGTGGCAGAATACAACAGAAGGACACATTGTGAGGACTTCCTACTGCAAATGCCTCGCTGTTCTACCACAAGTGAAAATGGTAAGGAAATGCAAGTGACTTGTTTATAGAGGTTATCCACCATGGACTATATGGTGGGTCCAATTTTCATGGAGCCTAATAGAAGCCTCAGGCCTAACCTGCTCTCCAGCCCGTCTACATAGTCTTTCTTCCTGCGACGGCTGTCCTGGGCTGACTGTTTGTTGCGTATTTTGCGTCTCACTTTTTTCAGAATCCGTTCCTCGGCCTAGAAGGGAATTCAGTCCAATACATTTAGATGCAATTAAACTCAGAGCTAAACAATTTCAGTCAATTTCACTGAAATCATATAAAATATACAACGAAGTCATTTGTGATGTCAAAGTTGTCATGTAAAAGTAATGTAATCCAAGGGCATGCAGGGAAGTAATGACTTTGGGGTACATAGAATAGTGTACCATCTACCGTGCGTGTGTCTGACCTTGGTGAGGGGCAGGTTGTTGGGCAGAGAGATCCCCTCTTGGTTCAGCAGTTTCTGCTCCTCTTCAGTCAGCGTGAGATCGGGGTAAAGCTGATCAGGAGAAGAGGACATTGTGTTTATAATCCACACCGCCATAATCCCAAAAAGAGACACTTGAACAAACACCTGGGGTCTCAGACTAACAATCCCCCTCCCCCACTATCTTCTTATTGTGCCTATCTTCCCCATTCATTAGGGATTGAGGCTTGTGGATTTCACCACATCTTTACAATACATTTGCAGGCCTCAATTATAAATAAGCGGGAAAGATTGTCACTGTGTAATTACATCTAATTAGATGGTAAAAACATTCCCTATTCATTTGGGATTGAGCCCTGCAGCTTTCTCCTAATGCACATGGCGGGATCTTCACAACAGATGCCATTGAATATGGACTCATCTTGACATTAGACCACTTTTGTGGTGTGAAAATATCTGACAAACGCTGATTTTAGAGTAAATGTGCCCCTTTTAAGTCTCACCAGCGGGCTGTCTGGACTGGTGGGGCTGGAGGTGGAAGCTGAGGGGGTAGAAAGGTGACCATGGTCAAATCTCCCAGCAGATACTAGGGGTAACTCGTTGACGACACAGGACTCCGAGATCAACATCTGAGAACTCCACTCATCTGTAGCAGAAGACATAGGAAAAGAGAGTAAACTCCCACCCAACACACATGGACTCACATACGCAGATGCGCGTGCTAGTGTACACACACACAAACACACACACACTCACCCAGTTCTATGGAAATGACATCGACACTATGCTGCTCTGGCTCCGTCTTGATGTTGGCCAGGGTGCTGATGTCATAGACCACCTGATAGATAGTTGCAGGGGCCTGAGAGGGGTCCACTGTGGCAGCAAGGGGGCTCTCGGAGCAGGGTTCCTCGGAGATGCCACTGTCGCTCTCTGAGGAGGTCTCCACTGGGGCTCTGGTAGGGAAGACGTCATTTGGGTTGATGGCATAAAGCACATCCTCTGGCTCGCTATCGTTTAGACCCTGTAACATATGGAGAGAAATTTGGTAATACTTTAAGCAAATAAGTATAATACATTATTACATGTTAATAATGTGTTAATAAATAAAGTTGAGTAAATATAGCCCCAGGTCTTTACAACTTGGCTCACTATATTGTACAACTAGTCATAATGGGAAACCATCCGCACACTTTGGGGGTCTACCGTGCATTCATCCAGGGGTTTTTCAGAGCCAGCATAGATGACATCAGAGCAAGAAAATGGCCCTTCCAGTCCCCAACTCTCCTCTGTCATACTGTCCTCCTCCTTGTGTCCGAAAAACAGCTCTCCATTCTCTACATCCATGTCCTAGAAGAAACAAAACAGCAGTTAGAAGTATTACAAAATATTTATAAATTCAGTTCACTTTTGTGTACTTCTCTTATTGCACTGTCAATATTACAACTCTTTGCTATTGAAGTGTTTGAAACTCATATCTATGTTGTTGTAAGTGAAGATTTATAAAGTATGAAGAAGGTGTGGCAACTGCTCAGAGAGCTGTTAAAGGGTGGAGCTATTTCTATTATTACAGTTTGATCAGTGGGAGTCCTTTCGCAAGAGGATATCAGCATCCTGGTACACACACACGCGCACACACACACACACCTACACACACACACAGTTGCATTTCTCAATAGCAATTGTACCCCTCATAAAATCACAACTGTTACACTTTTTGGCCCTCATATTTAATATGTAGGCCTACTAGTTAGGCTAGCAGAAATAATAATAGCACGTGACCCACACCAGTAGTCTATAATAAACTGTAGTCTGTCTATATGTATGTTTTCTATATTGTAGGCTATTGCCTGCATATTTCAGCCAAGTGTTCAGATAATTATCTCACACTATTAAATGGCGGAACTTGAATAAAGTTTATCCATTAAAATTCTACATTCGTAAACGATTGCCTTCTTGGTTCGTATTAGATGTTGAGTTTGACACTATACCTCGATCATGTGTAGGATTCCCTTCCCTGTCAAGCCGGATAAACAAGAGTTACATTGTACTCTCCGACTATAGCCTCATGTCACCACAAACAACTTACTTGTCTGCTGCTGTTTTCAGAAGCGATGATTCTTCCGAATATACATATAGGTCTACTTCAAGTGCATTACAACAATAGTAGGCCCAACGTGAGTAGAAAAATGCAGACGAGTAGTGTTTAAGATCAACCAGTGTCAGACGCATTTCTCCCGAAAATCCAGCTGGCAATTCTTATGTCAATCATCCCGGAGGGCGAATAACCATACTAACACGGCGCATGTGCGTCGCCCTAAGCGCAACCGTTGGCTCTAAAATCACTAACTGATAGAGTAGGTGGATTTCTCTCTGTATCTTACTTATGCCATAATGCAAAAACATGTCTCTTTTATAAATCAGTACATTTACACCGACGTTGTGCAGTTCATAAGCGTCAAATAACTCCGAAGTCCCTCCCACTTTGCGCCTTTGATTGGGCAGGGCAATTACCCAATAAAAAAACAGAAGAGGGTGTGAATACTTTGGAGGCACAAGGTAGTAGTGAATTAGAGATGAAACTGGAAATACTGGAAAGGATCAGTTACGTTATTGTATTGAGTTCTTAAATTGTGTTTTCATTCGCAGATTCAGCAACAAAAATGTGCAAAGGCCTATACTTTTGGCAACATCTCGGTTAAATAAAGGTGAAATAAATAAAATAAAAATAAATACTTTTGCCAACATTCTCTAATGAGACGTTTTTGCTGCAGGATAGAGCAAAACCAGGGGATAAGGCAAAATCTGAAAGTATGTCACACGGTCTGGAGTTCTGTCTGGCTCGAGAGCGACTTTGAACAGGTCATGGATATCTCAAAGCAGTTTTGATGGCTTGGACTACATGGTTGGAAGAGCCTGGTCGGTTGGTGTTCCTTGTAAAAATGGATAGCAGGGTGGTGAGTCAATCTTTGTATGTGTTCACTGCTCTCTTTGCCCTCATCTACTTCCAATAGGCACTGATATTTTTGTCTCACCATTCTTTGTAGTTGATTGATTGATCAACAATGGAAACGGCAGCCAAATGTTGCGATCTTGAATGCACCTTTGTGAAATTGTATAATTCCCTTTACCCTGTAGGTGGCGAAAGTCTGTCCTGCTAGTTGATGGTGTGGAGACCATTGTTGGGCATGGCTGCGGGTGGCTCCAAGTGTGCGTGGCCAGGGGATTACTGGTGCCATCCAGAGACATATGACAGAGTATGTCTGCAGTCACTTTCCACAGGTCACTTGCCCGAAGACTGTGCTGAGGAGACGACCCATCATCTGAAAAACTGTCCAGATATCGCCTGTTGGCCAAAGAGGTAGGCCTACGTAGCTCGCATGCCAGTGTGGTTTGTATAAGGCAGGGACGTGCACAACTGCAGTCCTTGATGGCCACAGATCTGAGGTCCAGTTATTTGACATATAACATATTCTCTAGTTCTGTTATTTATAATTCATTATATGTATGGACAAGCATCATGCAATGTATCATGAGCTGAAATAGCCGACTCACTTGAATTGCCTCGCATCTATTGTGTCTGTGGCAGGGCATTCTTTGTTTGTTTTGTGAGGTAGGTGAAATAGGACCTTTACTTGAGAAACTACAACAGAGACTCGAACAAGAGTACAAGGCTGAGGCCTTCAACCCAGTGACTCTGAGCCAAGCAGAGGAAGAAAAAGCAGTGCTGAGCACAAATGTGGTTGCAAACCTACTGCCTGGTGGAGGCCAACCTGGAAGTGCTTCACAGGAGGGGGCTGACCTGGGTAGAGACTGCCCACTCAGGCCCAATGCCCTCAGTCTCTGCACCATACCATACCCAGTGCCCTACCACCACGTTGCCCTCCATTTTAACAACATCTTTGGTCACAGCCTTGATTCAGTCTGTGCTGTGTTCCTGGCACAGCTTAGAAACCTGCTCTCATGCTTGAGTGGATATCTCATCTTCTATACCTATGTGCACCCCAGTATCTGGCCTGGGCTAAAGCAGTTTTGTCAGAACTCTTCCAATGTCATGTTCTTCAAGGATTATTGGGAGGAGCTTTTGGTGGAGACGGACCTTTAACAATATCTGGAGCTGGAGGGAACACGATGTGTCGTTGAGCATTCATGGTCATATAATAACACCATAAATTCAAAAGCTATATCTACATGCTGAATTCAAAAGCTATATCTACATGCTGAATTCCAAACCAGGCCTTTAGCCAAAATGTCAGACAATGTATTTAATGTATTCATGTCCTTTATATTGTATATTGTGTTTTATGGTTTATTTTTATTATGGTTTTATTATGGCAAATATAAACTGTTTTATGGTTTATTTTTATTATGGTTTTATTATGGCAAATATAAATTTTGCCATAAGTTTATATTTATTATGGCAAATATAAACTTATGGCAAAATAGGGCAGTTTTATATGACTCATGGTACTCTGTTTTTCTCTTTTTTTATACAAGGCAAGGTTTGTCTGTTTATGATCTCACCTCATAAGAACTGGGTTGTGGCATCAGCAATTTCTGCCTCTCTCAATAAATACATTAAATTGTGTTTGTAATCTTTTGAAAAACAGATGGGCCTAAAGTCTTCACAATATACTATGCAATCAATATATTTTTATTCTATACAGGATATAATAACCTACATTACCCAGTAAGCAAAATTACTTTGAAAATACTTTTCCAGACATTGACATTAGGTGCATTTCAGGTGCTGAATGAAAGGTTAGAAGACGTATTATATGGACATCAAAAATATGTTTGAAATGGATGTCGAAAATACGTATTTTCAGAATGTTGAAAATTCATATTTTCCGGACGTCATAGAGACGTCTTATATGCACATTCTCAATGAAGTAAGCATTATATCACAATAATATAGGAAAGAGGAGCCAACTGAAGACTGCAAAATAATATTTATTATTGCTCCCATCTGTCAAATGCACTGAAAGTTAGCTTTTTCAAAAGCTTTAAAACTGGCAGCGATGATGTTCAAAGTAGTCCAACCTACAGAATAAACCGACAGACCACTTCAACTACAATAACATTCTTAGTAACGGTTACAGATGGTTTTATTTTCTTGCTATGACTGTGATATGTTCTTTATCTACCTTAGTTGAATGCACTGACTGTCAGTCGCACTAGATAAGAGCGTCTGCTGAATGAGCAAATAAAAAACCTGGATTGATGATAGCCTTGTCAGGAAACTGAAAGAGAGAGATGCTGCTTATAAACACGGCAAGGTGACCGGGGACAATTGTATGGTTAAACACTACAAATACGACCAACGCAGATCGATTAAGATGGCAAGACACAAGTATATGGACAAAGTGGGTCGGACACGAGACGGTGTGGCAGGGGCTTCTAACGATTACAAAAAGAAAGCCAGTCACGTCGCAGACACCAACGCCGCTCTACCGGACGAACTAAACACCTTTTTCTTATTCTTCAAGCGTAACGACTCTGAGCTGCGGAGGAGTGCCCCAACGAGGGCTACGTGCTTACGGTCTCCACAGAGGACGTATGTAAGTCATTCAAACGTGTTATCCCTGGCAAGGCTGCCGGCCCATATGGCATCCCTAGCAGCAACCTCAGAGCATGTGCAGACCAGCTAGCTGATGTGTTGTCGGACATTTTCATCTCTCTCTAGCTTAGGCCATTATCCCCTCCTGCTTCAAGATGTCCACTATCATTCCTGTGCCCAAGAAATGGAAAGTAACTGAACTGAATGACTACCGACCCGTAGCACTCACTTCAGTCATGACGTGCTTCGAGAGGCTAGTCAAAGACCACATCACCTCCTCCCTCCCCAACACACTCGACCCTCTCCAATTCGCCTACCGCCCGACATATCCACGGACAACGCAATCGCCATTGCACTGCCCTCACCAACCTGGACAAAAGGAGTGTGAGGATATGTGAGAATGCTGTTCATCGACTACAGCTCGGCATTCAATACCATATTGCCCTCTAAGCTCACCACAAAGCTCACGGCCCTGGGACTGAACTCCTTCCTATGCAACTGGGTCCTGAACTTCCTGATGGGCCGCCCCCAGGTGGTGAAGGTAGGCAACATGACCTCCTCCACACTGATCCTCAACACTGGGGCCCCACAAGGGTGCGTCCTCAGTCCCCTCCTGTACTCCTTGTATACCCACGACTGCGTGGCCTCACACAGTTCCAACTCCATCATCAAGTTCGCTGATGACACGACAGTAGTAGGCCTGATTACCAACAATGGCTTGACGGCCTACAGAGAGGAGGCAGGCACTCTGCCAGCGTGGTGCCAGGTAAACTACCTCTCTCTCAACATCAGCAAAACAAAGGAGCTGATTGTGGACTTCAGGAGGAACCAGGCTGGGCACGTCCCCATCCACATCAACGGGACCCCCGTGGCGACGGTCAAAAACTTCAAGTTCCTTGGCTTACGCAGGAGGAGGAGCTAAAATGGTCAAACATTTACATTTACATTTACATTTTAGTCATTTAGCAGACCACATGGACACTGTGGTGAAGAAGGTACGACAGCGACTCTTCAACCTCAGGAGGCTGAAGACATGTTTCCTGTCCCTGAGGGCCCTCACAGTGTTCTACAGGAGCACCATCGAGAGCATACTGTCGGGCTGCATCACAGCCTGGTACGACAAATCCAACTCCACCGCCGCTGACCACAAGGCTCTACAGAGGGTGGTACGCTCAGCCGAACGCACCATTGGGTTCATACTGCCTGCTCTCCAGGACATCTACAACACCAGGTGTTGCAGGAAGGCCAAGAAGATCAACATGGATCTCAGCCACCCGAGTCATGGCCTGTTCTCCCCACTTCCATCACTCATACGCGGGCAGTATAGGAGCATCATGGCAAAAACTGTCAGACTGGCCAATAGCTTCTACCCCCAGACCATCAGAGTGCTGAATAGCCGCCACTAGTCAGCTACCTGCTACATTACAGTACGGCAGTTTAGTACAGTAGAGTACAGTACGGTACAGCACAGGACAGTCTAGTTCTATTCAGTAGAGTACAATAGAGTACAGTACAGTAATGAAAAATAGAGTAATAAAGTAGTTTAGTACATTAGAGTAAAGTAGGGTACAATACAGTGCCCTATACTTTACTTTTCTTTACTGTACACTACTGTACTCTACTGTACTGTATTGTACTCTGCTGTGCTTTACTGTACGGCACTGTACGCTGTCCAAACTTGTAAAACATAGACGGTCCTTGACGTTGAAATCCAGGCTAATCCGGACTGCACAAAAAAACAAACAAAAAGACATCACTGTCTGTACATGCTTAGTGGGAAGTGTAGGCCTATGTTCACTACAATACCTCCCACAAATCTAAAAGCAGGATCAGTGGAATATTGTGCTAGTAGAAGGAGATTCCACCATATTGCTTAGGCTACTGGTCATGATGTTTCACGGTCATGGCTGCCATCCTATTTCTGACACCAGTGTAGCGAACAACAAACTTGGATTGTTGCGTGAAAGGCAAACACCCTACCAGACCAATCATAGAAGTCTATATTTGGCCCAAATCTAAACCAATCATAGACGTCTGTTGACGTTAAAATCAAGGCCAGTCCGGACCGCACCAAAAATACAAATAAAGACCACTAGTCCAGACAGGACCAAAATAAAGACCTCCAAATTACGTCGCCTGACGGTAAATGCTTAGCGGGTATGTAGTCTTCTTGGTTAGGGAATGCAGCAGAGGTCTCATATTCCGCACATTTACTGGACTGATACTAAGTCTAGAGATGGCACATGATGTCCTCTCAACCCTTCCTCTGTTGCAATTGTGTGCGATTGAATGAGTGATACAATGTCCAGTATATTCTTGTATCAAAAGTCCACCAATGAATAGACCGCGAAAGTTCGAAATTGCTCCGAAACAACTGATAAAGGATCTGTTTAGCTGACCCCCAATCTTGAGATGAACTATCGACGGCTTGAGCGCAGATCTGACTTGAGATCAGATTTCACTGAGCGTTGACGAATCCGGGACATGCCCCTCCCTCGAGCTCGTCCCAGCCTCAGAGTGCAGTTTTTTGCATCGCAGTAATGTAATTTTGCTGCCTTTATTCACTTTTTATTAAGTCTGTGCCAATACAAGCTGCTCACCAAGGCTGTCCTTTTATGTGAGAATACGACAGAAGGTAGTACATTATTTATTGCTTGCGATTTGTAATGTGAGAGATGCCATAGGCAGAAAGCTATACCTTTAGTCAAGTTGTTGAAAACTTTTGATGGACTAGCTATAGTTTTTAAAACTTTCTAACCAGCTATACATGATATTATAACAGTCCCAGTAAAGCAATTTAATGTTATCTGATGTTAGATCAGTCACATGCTTTCTATGCCCCCCCCTCCCCTCCCCTCCCCTCCCCTCTCTCCCCTCCCCTCTCTCCCCCCCCCCCCCTCCCCTCCTTTCATACCCAAACATTACTTTCCCATCCTTTCACATACTGTATCTGGGAATTAATATTCTTTGTTTGCCAAGATCCCAAAGCAGATGTCACAGTGTGACATTTTCACAGAAGTCTCTCACCCTCTGGGCACTATGAAAATGTATGCAATAAATGTCAAACAGCGTTTATTTGTATTGACTTGATTTGAATGTAGGCAAATTTTCCTAAAACTTCTCTGATGCAGGTGGTTTCCCCCTCCCCATTTTATTGCCATTCGACTGTAAGCCAATGGAGTGCGTCTGAGAGCTACTCTTTGCTGTTTGACTCAGACATGAGAGAGAAGCAGGTAGTGCAGAGATGGCTCTCAGAAAAGGATCATCCTCTGTTGCCCTTTCCGCGTGGCCATCTGAAGTGCAGATGAACCCAGCTGATGTCCCTGGCCTGGAGGTAAAGCTGGGAGCGTTGGTTGTTCTTTTCTCCATCACACTGGTCTGTGGCTTCGCCCCTTTGTGCTTCGTCAGGGGGGCAGGGAGGTGCAATGTTGACCCAGGTAAGTGGCACTTTAGATCAGAATGAATTTTGAAAATGTGACTTAAAGGTAAATCCATTTGAATTAAATCACTTTTTGACAGCACCCCTTTTGAATGGAATGAAACCTTCCTTACATATTTTCCCATTGTAGAAGTGCTCAGTAAGTTCCTTTTTGGACATGAATACCAAGACATTCAGGAGATAAAGGTGCTCAAAGTTGACCCATTTTGCATACCCCACCATACAATGAGATCTCTTCATCACTAGAAAAGATAAACAGTTGAGATTGATATATTTAAAAGCTTACGAACAGGGTTTTGAAACTATTGTATAGTTTCTTTCAAAAAATTGTTTTTAAATAAAAATTGTCTTTTTTTTTTTAGCTGACATGTAATTAGGCTCCCCTGTCCTCCACTCGTTACCTGTATTAATGGCACCTGTTTGAACTTGTTATCAGTATAAAAGACACCTGTCCACAACCTCAAACAGTCACACTCCAAACTCCACTATGGCCAAGACCAAAGAGCTGTCAAAGGACACCAGAAACAAAATTGTAGACCTGCACCAGGCTGCGAAGACTGAATCTGCAATAGGTAAGCAGCTTGGTTTGAAGAAATCAACTGTGGGAGCAATTATTAGGAAATGGAAGACATACAAGACCACTGATAATCTCCCTCGATCAAGGGCTCCACGCAAGATCTCACCCCGTGGGGTCAAAATGATCACAAGAACGGTGAGCAAAAATCCCAGAACCACACGGGGGGACCTAGTGAATGACCTGCAGAGAGCTGGGACCAAAGTAACAAAGCCTACCATCAGTAACACACTACGCCGCCAGGGACTCAAATCCTGCAGTGCCAGATGTGTCCCCCTGCTTAAGCCAGTACATGTCCAGGTGACATGTAAATTATCTACCGATTGTTTTCATATTCGCACAAGTTGTAGCTTAGACCCTGAGATTTTTATGTTGTGCCCACCATCGATTGAGACACAAGATGCTCTTGAATACAGGATGGGTGTCATGTTTTGGCTGATCTACTGTACAGTATGTACTAAAATAGGAATGAAATTGAAATTTCAACTTTTAAACGTTACCACAAAGATGGGTGGAGGTCCACACAATGTTGACTTGAATGGGCATATCTGTTGTTTTTAAATTATACTATAGGAAACCTATTGAAATCATAGAAAAATAGATAATAGAATAGACATGACCATTTAAGTTCACATTTGATAGTGGGTGGACCAGCAGCAATCTTTGTGTTAGTAATTAGAAGTCAAAATGTCAATTCAATTAAAATGGCAATGGTGTACCAGCTAAATTGCAGTGGACTGAAGGTATAGGTCCATTCTATGAATTATATTTATATGATTGAAATGACACTCATCCTGTATTCAAAAGCATGTTGTGTCTCAACCGATGGCGGGCACAACACAAAAACCTCAGATGATGTAAAAATAGGATCTAAGATACAACATATGTTAATATGAAGGAAAAATATCAGACTTTCGCGTTTTTAGCTAATTGATGTTAAAAGGTAAAAAAATGTCATCTTTATTTTAAAAAAAATATATATATTTCAAGAAATTATAAAATAGTTTGATAACCCTGTTTGTAAGCTTTTAAATTATATCAAACTCAACTGTTTATCTTTTCCAGTAATGAAGACATGGATGTCTTAGTGTATGGTGCTGGTGGGGTATGCAAAATGGGTCAACTTTGAGCACCTTTTACTCCTGAATGTTTTGGGATTCAGGTCCAAAAAGTAACTTTCCGACCACTTCTTCCATGTAGGAAAATGTTGTTTAAATCAAAAGGGATGCTGTCAAAAAGTGATTGAATTCAAATGGATTTACCTGAAAATAAGTCCTGACTGTAAACTTACTTGCTGACTCCTATGTGTTCCTTCCTTTCACAAACCCTACACGAAACACTAAGACCCCCAAACCCATTGAAAAGACAGTAGAATGTAAGTGGGTTCAACTTCCATGCACATCCGATAACTTTGCACAGGGCTGAATAATAAAGTGCAGGTGAATTAGTAAAGGGGAGACATACCTGCTCTCTTTTGTGTAATCTGTTCCCGGATGTTGTCAAGATGTAGTCCGTCAAATCTGAATATTTTTTCCATGGAGACCAGATGGAAAACCAACAGGTTAAAACATTGACCTTACTTGTTGTAGACCCTTTCAATAAACATGACTGGCTGATACATTTGTGGCTGAGCTGGGTCTGTTGTATTCCACAGAAACGCGTCACAAGGTAGTTAGCTTGGTGAGCTGCTTCGCTGGAGGAGTGTTCTTCGCTACTTGCCTTCTGGACTTGGTGCCTGACTACCTATCTGGGATCAATGAAGCATTTAGTAGCCTGGGTATCACAGTAAGAATTTGGGGATGTCCCCATTAGCTGTGTATTTTTTTGGTTTCTGCCCTTCGGTTAGACATTTCACATCTGATTAGTATTTTGGAAAGTACAGTGTTATCTTGGCCTGCCCTGTATTACTTGATGTCAGAATTACATTTTTTATCTTTGTGTCAAAGTTGAATGCTGAGAAAAATACAGATTAATGACTTTCTGTGAAGACTCATCAATTTCTGTCCGCAGACACTTTATTATAAATGAATAAAATGTAGGTTACATTTGTCAGCTTAATCTGCTGACTGATTAGGCTAACTTTGTGGTAATTCTGCCAGGTAAGTTATAAAGTGTGTGTTATCCTCTTATCTGTCAATCTACCCCTTCCAGCTTCAGTTCCCTCTACCCGAGTTTATCATAGCCATGGGCTTCTTCTTGGTCCTGGTGTTGGAGCAGATAGTCTTGGCCCTCAAAGACCGATCGGCGGGCCACTCTGAAGAAAGACGCGCACTATTGGTGGACCCCAGCGTCCAATCACATGACAGAGATTGCCGGAGACACTCCCACCACTCCCATGGTAGGGAGGAACTAGGGGGAGAGGATGCCCACTTTCATGTGGACTTTAACTCCACCTCGGCCATCCGGGCCTTCATTCTAGTATTTTCCTTATCTCTGCACTCAGTGTTCGAGGGCCTGGCTGTGGGGTTACAGGAGGACAGTCAAGAGGTGCTGGAGATCGGTGTGGCTCTACTCCTCCACAAGAGCATAATCTCTTTCAGTCTAGCCCTAAAGCTGGTCCAGGGCAAGCTGCGGCGGGCAGCCGTGGTGGGTTGCCTCCTGCTCTTTGCCCTCATGTCCCCGCTGGGCATTGGGCTGGGCATCGCCCTCACTGAGACCAAGTCATCCCCGCAGCACCAGCTGGCCAGGTCCACCTTAGAAGGCCTGGCGTCTGGCACCTTCATGTATATCACCTTCATGGAGATCCTGCCCCATGAGCTGAGCTCCCCACAGAACCGCATCCCCAAGGTGGCCATGATGCTCACTGGGTTCGCAGTGGTCACTGGGGTGCTGTTCATCAAAATGTAAATATTCTGTAGATCAGTCCTTAGTGTCTGATTCTATCAAAAACTGACAACCCTTCTGGGATAAAAGACAAAAAATTATTTCCTCTTTTGCCATGAGAATGCAATTTGGACTGATAAGCATTCAGATTTTATATATGCTAATCCTGCCATGCTTTGAAATTAACATCATATGTCGTTTTCTATTTTAGAGAATTTGAATGTATCTATATTTTTTATATAAACAATGACATACTTCACAAACAGCTTGATGTGGTCTAAATGACCTGATTAAAAAAGAAAATATGATAATTTATAACTCCTGGTTTGATATTATAGCAAACCTAATGTTTTGTTAGCTGTGAAATCTAACTAGCAGTGTCCTGAATTGTACACATAACATTTGTTTGTTCAGTAGTATGACTGCCTAGCCCCTACAAAAAACATAATAAGAGCATATACAGCTGGCTACTACTTTAAATGCTTAAAAAGCTAAATGGATTGGTTGCTCTTTGTCAGAGCCTTACATTGCGATCTAAATATAGGCCCTTATTTTTTTCACTGCCATGTGGTGAGAAAGCTTTGAATTAGTCCTCTATTCTCTTGAAAACTTGAGTTTGAATAATTGAAATGGCTGTTCGTTTTTATGTTCACTTTTATATCAGCACTTGTTTATCTGTACCTGGTTTACTGATTAAAAGTAATCTGAAATAATTTTCAACATGTTGTCTAGTTATTTTTCACCTGGAGAGTGATAGGATTAGTGATGAGTACGATAGTGATGAGACAACCAGTACTGGCAGTGTATTTTTGAGAAACCAACCAATACAATAGTTGTGTGTGGAACAATTTAACGTTTTTTAATCAATCAAAATATCCATCATACAGTACTGTAATTTCTGTGTTGACCTAGCGTTTTATATATATATATATATATATATATATAAACTACATGCCCCAGATTGCGCTTGGGCGCTCTCACGTTTCTCCTCCTCCCACCAAGTCAGATGGTTCGACTATCTAGTTACCACAGCCACAAAGTCAAAATTGGCTGTATCGTACAAATTCATGAAAACAAAAAATAGCTTTTTGGTCTTCATTTAAGGTTAACTGTGTGGTTAAAGTTAGCTTTAAAATCACATTTTAAGAAGAGAAATTGTAGAAATAGGCGGCCCGTATGACTTTGTGGTTATGGTAACTAGTGACGACCAAGTCAGATCATCCCACTGAGTGAAGTCGTTCGGCAAAGATGTCTGCTACGGATGTAGGCGGTTGTGGACCCGGACCAGGACCCAGTTCGGGTGCTGGGTCCGGGGCATCAAACCCCCGAAAATTTAGCGAGAAAATAGCTCTACATACCCAACGTCAGGCTGAAGAGACTGCCGCTTTTCAGGAGGTTATGATGGACATCACCTCTACCAGGGTAAGTCGGGGGGAGGCAGAAGAGGAAAGCTGGAGTAAGTACAGGCCCGGGGCTTGTCAAAAGAGTCAACTAAAAATACGAAAATGCTAAACAAATATAGCTAGCTAACTCTAGCCAAGAATGAACGTTATCCACGATTTGCCTCCTATCTGTTGATGGAGGTTAAATGTAAATTCCGAGTTATTTCACCTACCTAACTACGATGTTGAATGCTATCTTATCGAACTTGTCAAAATTGTAATGCGAACCAGCTAGCTAGTTAACGTTAGCGTAAATGAACTAGTTAGCGAGCCCTGAGTTAGTCATCTGTGGATAAGTAGCATTTCAAATTCAGTAGCTAACGTTAACTAGTAGTAAGTTACGTTACTTATCTAACGTTAGTTAGCTAGCTACTTAGCAAGCTAATGTTAAACGAGACATTGTAGTTATAACTAACTTTTAATACATTTTCTTTTGTCACACATTTACAAACCAAACTACCTAAGAACTGCTGAACTGTGTGACTGGTTGATAACGTTAGTTACCAGCCATGTTTTAGCTTAACGTTAGCTTTTCAGTGATTAGCTAGTGCATCAAGTGAAGTGGCACATTGTGGCTGCTGTCAACCACCACAGCAGAACAGATTGCAAACTCTTGGCATACTGCAACCCACTCCATTCTTTTCCCACTTGAGTTTAACATTCACAAAATGGTGTGTTTATAGGAACTCCACGGGTGTATTAATTACGCCGATTATGTTGTAAAACGTGTCGTCTGTTGCAATAGTAACCGTTTACTCCAAACAAAAACGTTTTTCAACGAAAACGAGATTTCATTTGGACAAATTCAGGTAGGGCCCTCCCCGTTTTTCATCGTTTGCGTACGTTTGGTTCTTAAACGGTAAACTGGTTTCCGTTGCAAGACATAATTAATACACCCCAGAGTTCATTCTAAGGATCTTTCAATTTGAAGTGAATAAAGCATTAACTGCTTTTCAAACAGATACTAATTATTAATTTGGTTATTAATGAATAAATCAACAATAATATATATTTTTGAACATTAAATATTTTAGAAACATGGTAATGGCCAGAATGTCCCCCCTCTACGAATAGCCTATACATTTTATGAGGTGAATGTGATGCAGACTGAGAAGGAGGAATAGAAAGGAGAAGAGGGCAAATCAAATTCAGTGAAGTCTCACCCTCTCATAAATTGCATTGTTGGGCAGCACAGTCAAGGGCTCAAGTCTTACACTGGCTCATCCCAACCCCTCAAAACACCCCACTTCCTTAATTCATGGTAACTCCCCTTTGCCATCTCAACCACTGTCTTTTCTGGGAATTCCTTTGAGCCCTGTCCTTTACAACCTCCCCATGTAATATACGTTTTACTGCAGGAGCGTCAGGGCGGTCCAATCAGCCTAATAGCAAGGCAGGGTGGCGGTTAACGGTAAATGGAGACGGAGCATGCTGTGAAATTGATGTGCTGACTCTGTGTGTGTGGCGAGAGAGCAAGTAGGCCCGAACGATGCAGTAGAGTAGTACAGAATTACGCTGTAAACAGATTTACGCTGAGACTTCACTTTAAAATGTATGCCAAACAAAACCATTGATTTCAAAGTTTAACTAACCATACAGTTCTATGCACAATGACTACTTTGAACAATTTACACAGTAAATAAAAAAACAATTACTGGAGAAACTGTGCAGATGCAAAGTTTGGTAACAGAATTACGGTAAATTCTCCCTCAGTTTTATTCTTTTTACAGACTTTATCTGCACAGTTCATCCTGTAAATGTACTTTTGTAAAATGTTAAGTGGAAATTGTTACAAGTAGTACTTGTGCATAGAGTTATATGGTTTGTTAAACTTAGAAATCAATGTTTTTTGTTTGTTATACATTTTAAGTGAAAAAGTCTCAGCGTAAATCTATTACCATGGATTTGCCCACTTCCATTCATTTATTGTATTTAATGAATCAGTTTGGTTGTACAACTTGTTTGTGTGTGGAGAATTCATATTGTCATCAGTGTGATGAATACGGAAAGCACTAGCTACTGTAATCGTCTTCGCCTGCGGGTAGGCCTATGTAAAAGAGAAAGGGGATTTAAAGATGGAATCCGCAGTAGGGAAAACAGCACCACCGTCCGCCCCACGGCCGTTGTTATTGCTTTTGTTTAGTTGAGTTTCACAATTAAGGATTCCAGCTTTTTGGTTTTTGGGCATTTTTAGATGGGTTCATAAAATCTAACAGAGTAGGCCTATCTAATCTGTATGCTGGAACAGTAGTGGTTCATAATAATCCATTTCAGAAGAGAAGGGAACCGTTTAAGGGCAGATTTAATCTTATGTCCTATGAAGACCTTGTCTCAAATTCTTCTGCTGTTATAATGATATGTTACACTGCCAATGTGGGGATATTGTTGCTTTGTGAAGATTGTTTTCAAAGTTCTTATTTTTCTTAGAAATAATAATTAAACACAAGGCCAGCTTTTCCTCAATACTTGTGGTTTTCCCTGTGAATGATTGTCCATTTCTTTTACAATGATGAACTCACTGCCCCCTGTTTTAAAGGTTGAGGGACTGCATGAAAGATGTCAGAGGCAGGACAGCACATTACAAAATGTCAAGCTTTTACTCAAAAGAACAAGGTCTGAAAAGACACCAATATGTTTGGCTGTGTCATTAATGGAAATGGCCAGACAGTGTCTTACTAAAAGAACGGGCCAGCTCATTTCAAACATTCTATTGTGACATAGGGCAACCACAGCTTTGCAGGTGATAAAGCACACTACAACAAACTCTTGATGATCTTGTTACCCAATTGGTGATTATCTCAATCCACTGATGTGGCTTCTGTCTCTGTGTAGGCTATGCAGCAATCCAGCAGTGAAGTATTGCAGTTTAAAGTCTCCATCTCCTCTTTGTTCTCCAGATCCAGGCTCAGAAAGTGCGTCTGGCTAGAACCCAGGGCCCGTACTACGGGGGCTCCCTACCCAACGTTAATCAGATTGGCAGGAACCCAGGCGACTTTCAGGTGAGAGAGGCTCACCTCTTTTATCCACAGTGTGTGAGTGTGGGTCCACATTAATATATATATATATATATATATATATATATATATATATGGCCTAAAAATCTATCCATACAATCACTTGACACCAATTTAAACACCATGGCGTCTCTCCCTCTTCTCTTGCACCCATCTTTATCCTCTCCCTTTCTGTTTCTTTGTTCTCCTACTTGTGTCCTTCATATTTCCCCCCCTCTCAGGGTTTGTTCCACTCTAACTTGGACTCCAGTCGCTCCACACGACACCACGGCCTGGTAGAGCGGGTCCAGAGGGACAGAAGCTTCATCTCCCCAGTGCGCCCCTACAGGAGACAAGTATCCTTCACAATACCTCTGAGACCTGAGTCCGGGAGGTGTTCCACAAAGCACAATCTAGGAGTTACCCAGAGTTTTGGTCTACCTAGGCAAAGGACTTCTTTGATAATATATTATTTTGTAATTTTCTATGTTGTGCTGACCAAATCCCTGGTTGTAAATCCCTGATTGTGGATGAGAAGAGTAGATTTAGTTGTTGCCTTGACTTGTGTGCTCCTCAGGTGGACCGCTCTCCATACAACTCAGCCTATCTGTCCCCGCCTCCGGACTCCAGCTGGAGAAGGTAATGATCTGGAGTGGACCCCAATCTGCAGAGACATGGGTGTCCTCAGGGAAGCCTGTTTATTTTTGATGTATCTTGCTTGGTTGTTTTTCTCTGCAGCATTATAGCTTGGTCTCAAGGTAACAATGCATACTAACGCGATTTGGACTGACTAACAAGACGCCTGATTTCAGCTTCCCTTCATAGCCCTGAATTTAGTTGCTTTTCGGAACTTTTAGTTATTTTATTTTCTCTACTTTCCTCCCTTTTTTCTGGCATCCAAATACTTTCTTTCTAAAACTTGAAGAGAAAAGAATGTAACTCCCACCTCTTTTCCCTTCTTGCCAGTCCTCTCCTTTCTTTCTTTCTTTCTTTCTTTTTTCTTTCTTTCTCTGCTAAATGGAAAAGGACATACTCTTTGAGAAAGGGACAACGGCTTTGACATGAAATTATACGTCTCTTACACACCTCCCAACACTTTTATCTTAATCTCTGCAAAAATAAAGCCATGTCGAGATGAAGGCCGCTCTAAACCAGCGTTTCTCATCTCTGCTCGCTTGAATGCTGAACTTTGAGAAATGGCCTCCATCAATCAGGTGAATGGAGGGAGCTGCTCCTGAAGTTTGTTCGTGGTGGAGTCAGCACAAGTCTGTCCGATTCTTTCCAGATCAGCAATGGGGGCTGGAAACACTGATATACAGCCTCGTAAATTCTACTGACGTGAACCGATCGCTGCGAGACCCCAGTCTAGCAGAGAATTTAAGAACCTCTTACATAATAGCCAGTCTTGCAGACGCACATGAGCACACACATGCATGAACGCAAGCTCACTCTTGCGAATGCATACATTTGTGCACATGAGCATGCAGTAACACACATACACACCCACAAATGCACTCAATTCACTCAATATTCTCTGTATCCACCTACATGAGAAAAAAGCATATATGGGATGGGCCATGTGTTCTGTAGAATGTCAGTCTCCCTCTCTCCCTCCCTCTCTCTCTCTAGCTCTGCATCTCCTCGCCGTTCGTCCCAAGCCTTTACTCTTTTTTTCTTCTTCTTTTAATCCTTCTCTGGAGAATAACGGCCATTTTTGTTGTTGATCACAAAAGGAACTGTTCGGGCAACTTCCCAGGAGACAAAAGCCAGTTGTTTCGCCTCCCCACCACGGCACTCAACAGGTGAATCCCACCCTCTCCATCTTATTTTCTCCCCCTCAACATAGGGCATCAACTCACTGTCCTGGGGCAGACATTACCAGACAATCGTGCCAGTGCGAGATATGGCCATTCAAAGACCTTCCAAGATCTTGTATATTGAATGAGTTTATCCTTTTTATATTGAATGAATGGATATTTAAGTATGACTGTGAGTTCCAATATATCATGGATGGAGTTAGTTTGTGGCTGCGCAGAAGTTAAAGTCAAGTGGTGATTCTCATGATGTTGTTACCGGAGGACTTTTCAAATGAGTCATGGATTGACTCGTAGTTGGTTCCTGTTTGGTGAATGTGTATGTGGGTTGATGTGGCAATGGAAAGAGACCCCCTGGATATTTCCCTCTATCTCTCTCTCCTCTCCTAATGGTTTTTCTTTATGCAGGACCAACTCAGACTCTGCCCTACACACCAGTGTGATGAACCCACCTGCAGGAGACACCTTCAGCGCTGGACACACACTCACCCCTCAGGGCAGACGCACTGGTGAGGACTCACTAAAGACTAAACCAACAGCATATGTTTTTAGTAAACAAATTGGAGTGGGAGTTGAGGGTTTGCCACTTAGATAAAAGTGTCTGCTAAATGACCATATTGTTTAATCGTGATTGTGCCTTAAGCCCATTCTCAGTTTGCCCCAGTGCTCTGACTTGTATCTCTCTGTGCTTCTCTAGGTCAGAGTGAAGGAGAGGGGAGAAGAAGTGAGTCTTAACAGTCAAACTCGCTAAACACTAACAATTCTGTAATGTGAACACACCACAAATAATCTTGACAATGGAATGAAATCCTATGACCAGGAGACAGCGATTTGATTTCCTCAGTCATGTTGGTTGTCACCCACAGTGTTTCCGTACCCAGTTCCCCCTATTGAGGAGAACGTTCTGGATCAGGGTAAACTGCTCAAGCCCTGGGACACCAAGAAGTTGCCCCTGCTGTCTTCTCGACCCAAGTCCTGTGAAGTTCCCGGTATCAAGTAAGTCAATCCTTCTAAAACACATCCAAGTCATTTCAAGTGTTTTTCTCACAGGAGAGAATAACTTGTGTGGAAGTATCTGTGGCTCTAGCAGTTTGCAAACCTACTACAGTAATCTACAGTCATCTGTTTCAGTGCAGACACACGGTTATACAAACCCGCAATGTCGTGCATTAATGTAGACCTAATGTAAATTGTTGTTGCTATTGCTGCTTACATTAATGTAATTTGTTTAATTTAATGTGAAGCAGCAATATATGGAGGGGAGTCTGATAGGAGACACGGTATTGTACTATGGCTAGCATGTGCCCTCAGGTATGACATACATTTATGAATCCATGGCCGATTTCTGTTGACGTAAAAGCCTCCGCTCAATCTCCATTTGTTCTCTGTTGAAACATCCATTTGAAATATCTCCTTCCGTTCTCAGCCTCTGTTTGTCTATCCTCCTCTTCTTCGTCATGACTAACAGTCGGTGTAGCCAGGGATGCAGAGGGTTGGTTGACATGACGTTACACTCCCCCAAAGCCTTTTCGTTACGCACTCTTTTCTCTTTCTCTCATAGCTGGGGTTTAGATTGGAATGTGTGTGTAGTGGACATTCTTAATTTTATTCCTCTCTCATTCGCTTGTTCTTTTATCTCCCTCCATTTCTTATTTTTCTCTTGTTCTCTCTCTCTCCTCTCTGTAATTTATTATCTCGCTCGCTTTCTCCCCTCTCGGTCCATTCTTCTGTTATTTTTCTCTCTCTGTCGTTCTTTCTCTCTGCTGATGTTGGGTGTGAGTCAGTTTAGCTCTGGGACGCTGAGATCACCCTGTCTGTCTGGAAACCACACGCACACCAGTGTCTAATTCTTGACGAATATGAGACACCACTGTGGTTTCCCTCCCCTCCTAAATAGTTTTTCCATCTCCTCCTCCAGTATCTTCCCCTCCCCGGACCAGCAGTCCAGCACCCCCCATGCTCCCTCAGCCCTGAACACGGGGGGCTCCCTGCCCGACCTGTCCAGCCTGCACTTCCCCTCGCCACTGCCCACCCCGCTGGACCCAGACGAGCCGGGCTACCCCTCGTCCCTGAGTGGGGGCAGCAGCACGGGTAACCTGGCCTCCACCCTCACCCAGCTGGGCATCAATGCCAGAAATGCCTTCCGCCACTCGCCAGGTACAGGAAGGGGCTCTGGGATAGAGGTTGAAGAGTGTGTGTGCTATTGTGTGCCATGTTGATCTTCAGCACCTCTCTCTTGCATGTATGTTAGTGTGTGTGCTCAGTCAGGCATGCTAGGAACAATACAACCCTTTCCGTCACACTAGTTAAAATGTCTAAGTTGTGAGTCAAACGGAAGAAGCTAGCGGGTGTTGGTGAAAGAGGGAGATAGGCCTATATTAATTTAAGATTTATTTAGAAAGTGAAAGTGGAGGTTAAGTGGAGGGCTGTGCAAACAGAGAACGCGGACAGAATCAGAGAATCCAGACAATAAAACGGAAGTCAACAATATTACAAAAATGTATTGAACTTATTAGTAAGGGAGTCAACTAAATGTATTGAAAATGAATTAATTAGCCCAAGTTTATCATAAGACATGAACAGAATGCTTCAGTGATTTGTATTTCCTGCAACTTTCTGAAGAGGCAACGAGAATTCCCCCGTCTGTGTATGTGTGGTGCGCGCAGCTACCACTTTGTGTAGCTGTTAGCGATGATGCTAATGAAAAATCTTCTGGTAGATGGAAAGACTTTCTCAAAAACCTTCTCAGTTAAATGTTAACTACAAAGTAGCCTATGCTTACCTGGCAGAATGATATCATGATTATTTGCATCAATCCAGTGGGTATTTGTTATGCAAACTCTACCATAACAAAACACAGCTGAACAGCCTCTTGCTAGGTGTGTGTTATGATGAGTCTCTCGGGTATCAAGGATGCAAGGATATACTTAGACACTTTGTAGACAGTTAATGCAAATGTTTAATGATCGGTACCGGGTTCGTTACAACAATGACCAGAGCTTTGCCCTTGGTGTTACGAACTAACTTGAACAAAAAAGACACTCTACCTTATATACCTTCTGTTACCCTCTTCTTGGCATACATCTGGTAAGTCTCCATGGGCACTCCCTGTCTTTGATGTTCATCACTCTTTACCCCAAGTCAGTATCCTGCCCATCACTCATGCTATCCTAAACATCAGTAATCTCCTTTGACATAATGGAATGTAGACTTTCTGTCTCCTAACCACTTATCTAGTAACTGTAACCTGTTCCCCACGATACTATGACATGACATCTTATACCATAAAAACATAATATCAGTGTGCACTGGTATTAAAGGGTAACTACACCCCCAAAAAAATCCCAGACCTCAAAAGTGGTCTCCTTATGTGGTTTAAGCATTGTTGTGGACTTAAAAAAATCCCATTTAGTTATTTTCAATTCAAGTGTGAGAGCGAAAACCTGAAAGAAACCGGGGAAAACGGAAACCTGGAAAAACAAAACGAAATTTTGGGAAAAAACGAAACGGAATCAGGCAAGAAATTAAACAGATTTTATAGGGCCCTACTGGATCTGTGTTGAGGTGATTTGGCTGACCATACACAGGAAACTGACACTGAGTCGCCGAGTGTTGTTAACTTCAGTCTAGAGCTGCATGTCCATAGTCTGAGGTGGCGTGCTCTTCTTGTCTCCTCTCTTCGGCACTGACGGAAACGGGTGAAAACAGTATGGTGAATGCTTACCAGATATTTGCTGGTATTATTCTAGTTCGTTCACATCAGTGCAAATTTAAGGATACGAGGCAAATGAAGGAAAGGAGACAATAAAAGGAAACCTAGACTCTTGAGATGCACCCTACAGCTCAGGGCCTCTTTATGGGAGCTAGCGTTATACCTCTCCTGATATGACCGCCAGGAGACAAACTGTGTTTGCAGTTTGTCAAATCAAATGTTAAAACTATGAAATGTTGCAATACATTTTCATTGAATTTAGATGTGTTTGAAGTCTTCTACACTGAACAAAAATATAAATGCAACATGCAACAATTTCAAAGATTTTAGTTACAGTTCATACAGTGGGGAAAAAAAGTATTTAGTCAGCCACCAATTGTGCAAGTTCTCCCACTTAAAAAGATGAGAGGCCTGTAATTTTCATCATAGGTACACGTCAACTATGACAGACAAAATGAGATTTTTTTCCCAGAAAATCACATTGTAGGATTTTTAATGAATTTATTTGCAAATTATGGTGGAAAATAAGTATTTGGTCACCTACAAACAAGCAAGATTTCTGGCTCTCACAGACCTGTAACTTCTTCTTTAAGAGGCTCCTCTGTCCTCCACTCGTTACCTGTATTAATGGCACCTGTTTTAACTTGTTATCAGTATAAAAGACACCTGTCCACAACCTCAAACAGTCATGCTCCAAACTCTACTATGGCCAAGACCAAAGAGCTGTCAAAGGACACCAGAAACAAAATTGTAGACCTGCACCAGGCTGGGAAGACTGAATCTGCAATAGGTAAGCAGCTTGGTTTAAAGAAATCAACTGTGGGAGCAATTATTAGGAAATGGAAGACATACAAGACCACTGATAATCTCCCTCGATCTGGGGCTCCACGCAAGATCTCACCCCGTGGGGTCAAAATGATCACAAGAACGGTGAGCAAAAATCCCAGAACCACACGGGGAGAACTAGTGAATGACCTGCAGAGAGATGGGACCAAAGTAACAAAGCCTACCATCAGTAACACACTACGCTGCCAGGGACTCAAATCCTGCAGTGGCAGACATGTCCCCCTGCTTAAGCCAGTACATGCCTAGGCCCGTCTGAAGTTTGCTAGAGTGCATTTGGATGATCCAGAAGAGGATTGGGAGAATGTCATATGGTCAGATGAAACCAAAATATAACTTTTTGGTAAAAACTCAACTCGTCATGTTTGGAGGACAAAGAATGCTGAGTTGCACCATACCTACTGTGAAGCATGGGGGTGGAAACATCATGCTTTGGGGCTGTTTTTCTGCAAAGGGACCAGGACGACTGATCCGTGTAAAGGAAAGAATGAATGGGGCCATGTATCGTGAGATTTTGAGTGAAAACCTCCTTCCATCAGCAAGGGCATTGAAGATGAAACGTGGCTGGGTCTTTCAGCATGACAATGATCCCAAACACACCGCCCGGGCAACGAAGGAGTGGCTTCGTAAGAAGCATTTCAAGGTCCTGGAGTGGCCTAGCCAGTCTCCAGATCTCAATCCCATAGAAAATCTTTGGAGGGAGTTGAAAGTCTGTGTTGCCCAGCGACAGCCCCAAAACATCACTGCTCTAGAGGAGATATACCTCTACCAGCCACAGTGTGTGAAAACCTTGTGAAGACTTACAGAAAACGTTTGACCTGTGTCATTGCCAACAAAGGGTATATAACAAAGTATTGAGACATTTTTGATATTGACCAAATACTTATTTTCCACCATAATTTGCAAATAAATTCATTAAAAATCCTACAATGTGATTTTCTGGATTTTTCTTTCTCATTTTGTCTGTCATAGTTGACGTGTACCTATGATGAAAATTACAGGCCTCTCTCATCTTTTTAAGTGGGAGAACTTGCACAATTGGTGGCTGACTAAATACTTTTTTCCCCCACTGTATAAGGAAACCAGTCAATTGAAATAAATTCATTAGGTCCTAATCAATGGATTGCACATGACTGGGAATACAGATGTTGGTCACAGATACAGTACCTTTAAAAAAAAAAAAAAAGTAGGGGCGTGGAACAGAAAACCAGTCAGTATCTGGTGTGGCCACCATTACCCACATCTCCTTCGCATAGAGTTGATCAGGCTGTTGATTGTGGCATGTGGAATGTTGTTCCACTTCTTTTCAATGGCAAACAAATTTGTGCGCAACATTTGAGAGAAATAAGCTTTTTGTGCACATGGAACATTTCTGGGATCTTTTATTTCAGCTCATGAAACATGGAACCAACACTTTACATGTTGTTTTTATATTTTTGTTCATTGTATTATGAACGCATTACCACAACTTTTTTTCACCAGGACTCAAAATGTGTATTTTATTTTATGTAGCTCTATATTCACATTTATTTATCGGTCTTGTTTATTTGAACAGGTCTCCTAGCATCTCTTCAGGGCACTCTCAGTAACCCCTCCCTGCAGTCCTCGCTAAGCAACCCCAACATCCAATCATCTCTCAGCAGCCACTCCTTCCCCAACTCCCTCAGCTCCACCTCCTTGCACTCATCGCTTAGCAACCCTTCACTGCAGTCCTCCCTTAGCTCCTCCCCCTCCCTCCAGTCTTCCCTGAGCAACCAATCCCTGCACTCCTCCCTCAGCAATTCCTCCTTGAGTGGCCAGTCCCTCCAGACGACGGCCAGTAACCCTAGTTACAGTAGCGGGGTGGGAGGGTCCGGCTCGTGCTCCTCTTATTCGCCACTGCTAACTAGCCAGGGGCAGTCACCACTCAGCACGTCGCCACGGAGACGAGCTCAGCTCTCCCCTCTGATCCTACCCATGGGAGGGGAGTCTCGCAGGCACCACTCCAAACAGTTCTCCCCCACCATCTCTCCTAACTTGTCCTCCATAACACAGGTAATGTCTACCTACGTTCTCCTTTAACCATGATTTAATCAGATAGGCCAGAATAAGCACTGCACTAGGGTTGGGCGGTATCCAGATTTTCATGCCATCATGCCGTTCCTGTGCTGCACGCACAAAATAAATTGTAGACAGCAGGGATCTTGATCCAGGAGGGGATTTGTCTCTGCTGTAACCAAGAAGATTGATCTTGTAAGCTAGCTACTTAGTTAGCCAAAATAACCTGACTAGACTTTTACTAAATTACTGCTAGTTTTTTATTAAACTGCCCTTTTTGTCAGCATGGTATGGTAGCTAATGCTGCTTTATCTATTAACCTAGTGCACAAGTTGACTGTAGGTATTTATTTAAAAATAACTAATATTAAAATTGATGACAAAACAAGCTAAAAATGTTTTGACGGTATTGAAACCATACTGTGGGTATTTCAAAATACCCCGGTATATAGTTTATACTGAATACCGCCCAAGCCTACACGGCACCATAACATTGGCCGATCTGCATGCCAATTGAGTTTGTATTCCATTTCCAATCAATGTGTTTATCTCCTCCCAGGGCGTCCCTCTGGACACCAGCAAACTGCCCATGGACCAGAGGCTCCCTCCCTACCCCTTCAGCCAAACCCAGCAGCAGCTTCATCAGCCAGGTCCTCCAGCATCCCATCAGCCCCAGCAGGCCTCTCAAGCAGGACAACAGCTCTCCCAGCCGTCCATGGTACTGCAACAACAACATCAACAACAGCACCAACACCATCAGCTGCATCCGCAAATCCAGCTGCACCAGCAGCAACGTGCCCAGTCTCAGCAGGCCCTCCAGCAGCTGCACCTGCAGAACCTGCGCAATTCCCAGAATCAGCAGATGCAGCACCTGCAGCAGCAGCATAGGGTGTCGGTCAAAATTGAGATGCAGGGTGAGCAGGGACAGAACTCCCAGTGCCTGCAGACGCAAGACCCGCGGTCGACCCAGCAGCTACAACAACAGCAGCTACAACAACAACAGCAACAGCAGCAGCAGCAGCAGCAACAACAACAACAACAACAACAACAGCAGGACCAGCAAGACCAACAGCAGCAGATGGAGCAGCAAAGGCCGCAGGGAAGTCTTCCCCAGCTGCAGCACATCAGCCACTCCCTGGCCACAGACCTGGGCCTCTACAACGTGAGTAGAGTCAGTGCCAGCCCATACACACAACACACTGCCCCAATTGGCCGAATAAAGCCACAATTTCCTCTTCTACGTCCTCCTACTATCGGTCTGTCACGATTAACCTACCTCACCTCTCTGGGGCAGAGGGGCATGCCAGCCAGCTAACATGCAAAGCAGCGTGGTTTGATGTCTTTGTAAAAGCATGGTTTTAAAGCAAGCGCAATGTTATAAACATTGGTTGTGATAGAAAATGAGGTCAACTAGAATGATCCGGATGATGTACTCATCTGTACAGCTATTATCAAGACCATAACCAGTGTCAGCCTGATGGCCTCTGGTCACACCAGGGCATATTATTTTAAGAGTTCACTCTGTCATCAGTTGAAGTCGGAAGTTTACATACACCTTAGCCAAATACATTTAAACTCAGTTTTTCACAATTCCTGACATTTAATCCTAGTAAAAATTCCCTGTCTTAGGTCAGTTAAGGATCACCACTTTATTTTAAGAATGTGAAATGTCAGAATAATAGTAGAGTTAATTATTTATTTCAGCTTTTATTTCTTTAATCACATTCCCAGTGGGTCAGAAGTTTACATACACTCAATTAGTATTTGGTAGCATTGCCTTTAAATTGTTTAACTTGGGTCAAACGTTTCGGTTAGCCTTCCACAAGCTTCCCACAATAAGTTGGGTGAATTTTGGCCATTCCTCCTGACAGAGCTGGTGTAACTGAGTCAGGTTTGTAGGCCTCCTTGCTCGCACACGCCTTTTCAGTTCTGCCCACAAATGTTCTATAGGATTGAGGTCAGGGCTTGTGATGGCCACTCCAATACCTTGACTTTGTTGTCCTTAAGCCATTTTGCCACAACTTTGGAAGTATGCTTGGGGTCATTGTTCATTTGGAAGACCCATTTGCGACCAAGCTTTAACTTCCTGACTGATGTCTTGAGATGTTGCTTCAATATATCCACATAATTTTCCTTCGTCATGATGCCATCTATTTTGTGAAGTGCACCAGTCCCTCCTGCAGCAAAACACCCACAGCATGATGCTGCCACCCCCGTGCTTCACGGTTGGGATGGTGTTCTTCAAGCCCCCCTTTTCCTCCAAACATAACGATGGTCATTATGGCCAAACAGTTCAATTTTTGTTTCATCAGACCAGAGGACATTTCTCCAAAAAGTACGATCTTTGTCCCCATGTGCAGTTGCAAACCGCAGTCTGGCTTTTTTATGGCGGTTTTGGAGCAGTGGCTTCTTCCTTGCTGAGCGGCCTTTCAGGTTATGTCGATATAGGACTCGTTTTACTGTGGATATAGATACTTTTGTACCTGTTTCCTCCAGCATCTTCACAAGGTCCTTTGCTGTTGTTCTGGGATTGATTTGCACTTTTCGCACCAAACTACGTTCATCTCTAGGAGACAGAACGTGTCTCCTTCCTGAGTGGTATGACGGCTGCGTGGTCCCATGGTGTTTATACTTGCGTACTATTGTTTGTACAGATGAACGTGGTACCTTCAGGCGTTAGGAAATTGCTCCCAAGGATGAACCAGACTTGTGGAGGTCTACAATTTATTTTCTGAGGTCTTGGCTGATTTCTTTTGATTTTCCCATGATGTCAAGCAAAGAGGCACTGAGTTTGAAGGTAGGCCTTGAAATACATCCACAGGTACACCTCCAATTCTGGAATTTTCCAAGCTGTTTAAAGGCACAGTCAACTTAGTGTATGTAAACTTCTGACCCACTGGAATTGTGATACAGTGAATTATAAGTGAAATAATCTGTCTGTAAACAATTGTTGGAAAAATTACTTGTGTCATGCGCAAAGTAGATGTCCTAACCGACTTGCCAAAACTATAGTTTGTTAACAAGAAATGTGTGGAGTGGTTGTAAAACGAGTTTTAATGACTCCAACCTAAGTGTATGTAAACTTCCGACTTCAACTGCTAGAATTGGCTCACTATTTTGTATTGTATATTTTGTAATCAGCTGATTTATTTTTATACATTTGGCCATGCAAATTGCTCACTGTTAAGCCTCCTAGTGTGTGACATCCTCAAGTATGAAATAATATAATATCATCTCTTTACCCATGACATTACTCTGCTGTCATGGGATATATTTAAAACAGAACTTGGGCTATTCAAGAGGCCATATTGTTAAAACTGTGGCTCAATAATTTCCTACTTGATGCTTCACATTTCCTGTACCTGTATAGCTTCTCAATACATTTCCAATGCTCACTCAAGTCTCAACTTTGTTCCAAAACTTGCCACTGGAGATTGTTTCACAACATCCTTCTGACAGATGATGTCATTGAACATGCGCACAAGTTTTTTAGCTGCAGATTGCGGTGTGTGAATCTTGATAGGGAACGCTGATGTCATGCCCAAGTGAGGTGAAATGGATCCTGGGCTCTGTTGTTGAATGGCTCTATTAATAGCAGTCCAGAGAGCAGACTGTCTTTGTGTGCTGAGGGGCTGTGCTATTGAGACCACAGTGAAATTGGCCTGTAGGATGTAGCATCAATGAAGCCCCACTTCACTGCTACAGTACATATTGTAGGTGATGTCACCCAACATAATTTGGTATGACGTGTTGTTCCGTCTTTACACTAAAGTACCTGTGTTTTGTGTTGTAGGACACATTACTGTTAAACTCTCTGTTGGATGATCCCTACCTGGGCCTGCAGATCGCCTCCAGACAGAACCAGCAGGTACACCATTTCTGCAGACACTTTATTTCTCTCAGGCTCATATTTCTATTGACTACTGTACCTCTGCTTTCATTGCTGAGTTCTGTTGTACTGTATTTGTCTGCCTGAGTTCACTTTTGGTGTTTTGTCCCCGTCTCAGTTCAACATGGAGACTCAGGGAGACAGCCTGTCGTTCAACCATGGTGGCTTGGGCAGTGGGAGTGGTGGAAAGGGCCAGGAGGAATCCTACCACCCCAACCATGGCTTCCTGGCGCTCCACGACTCAGGGGATAGGCAACACCTTAACAACCAGAACTTCGGGGGAGAGGGATGCCACAATGTCCCTAACATCATCCTCACAGGTGAGATCTGGGCTACCACTTCGGCTATTACTCCCCTGTAGTAGAGGAATGCTTTCCAAGTATATAATTATAACTATAACTAACACACTAACCCTGAGTGGCTCAGTTGGTGGAGTATGCCACTTGCAATGGCAAGGGTTGTGGGTTCGGTTCCCGCTGGGGCCACCCATTCGAAAACGTATGCACACATGACTGAAAGTCCCTTTGGATAAAAGTGTCTGCTAAATGGCACATTTATTATTATATTACTTGCCCTCCTTTCTCTCTTCGCCAGGAGACAGTTCGTTGGGCCTCTCCAAGGAGATCGCCAGCGCCCTGTCCCACGTGCCAGGGTTTGAGATGGACTCCTTTGCCCTGGACGACCCCCTCAGGATGGACCCCCTGGCCCTTGAGGGGCTGGGCATGCTGGACAGGGACCTCATGCTGACCGACCCCGCCGTGGAAGACTCCTTCCGCTCCGACCGCCTCAAGTGACCCCCCCCCCCCCCCCCCCCCCCCCCCCCCCCCCCCGGAGTGGATACGGAAGAGTGAGGAGGGAAGGGGGTTGGAACGACCCCAGACTGAAGGTGGGGTTGAGCCCTGCTTTGCTTCCCCTTCCTTGGCGATCGACCCAACGCATGATCTGGGAATAAGACGTCAGGTGGGATGTTTTGGACAGTCTAGTGCAGGGTTCTCTGACTGGTCCTGGAGAGCAACTGGGGAGCAGGCTTTTGTTCCACCACAATACTAATACACCTATCAAATAATCAGCTAATCACAGTCTTCAATCTGGACCTTGATTATTTGAATCGGGTGTCTTAGTGCTGGGCTTGAATACAATACTGCATGCTCTGTAGCTCTCCAGGACCAGAGTTGGAGGTACCTGGTCTAGTGGGGACCTCACCACATGCATTTCTGTGAGGGTGATGTGGTGGTGGGGAAGGTTGGAGGAAGGGACTGATATGTCAGTGGTGGAGCAAGTTTGTTCGAGGTTCTTTCCGCTACATCCAGGCACTTATCGGAAACGCACTTGTGATGCTTAAGAGAAAAAAGAAAATGTAGGCATTAGCTTGTACGAGTCTTATCTGCATGTAAACAAATGCACTTCGGTTAATGCATAAACGCAGGGATCATGCATGAGGTCAGTTACACTTGAAAATGCCATCTTAAAAACCATACAATATACATTCTATAAGACAGGACTTTCCTGACTGGTCTTTCGGCTTTGTCTGTCGGTGTTCCATCATTCCAACGCCAGTATGGGGCAGGCTGGAATATCGGCCATGTGCGCCATCATTCTACTGCAAGAACATACCGTAGATCTGGGGTATTTTTGGATTACGTCAACCCAACCAGAGACTGTTCAACCAATAGTGGCCAATTGACATGTCTAAGTGTTTCTATTTTACTTAAGTTTGGTAAAGGTAATTCAATGGCGGACCTTGCTAGCTATAGTTCAGATATAGTTCAGTCTTTCAACGGACAAAGAGAAGAAAGTGTTTTTTTTGGAGAGGTGACTTTCTCAGTCACTCAGGACAAGTTGGCACTTATGGGGCCATTTTAGTGTCTGGACGGCATATTCATCTGTAAGATTATCACTGTGGCTGTGTTCAAGACCCAGCTAAATTGACCTTTCTCATTTGACCTCTCAGTTAGTCTGTCAACTCGAATCGTCTTGATGGTTCCGAATCTCAAAAATGACTAAATCAATCGTCTAAGGATATTGTCCTCATATTGAACCAAGTAGTCCATAGAATCCATTATCCAACTCCCCTGTCTATAAAAACAACACATAAAATAACACATTTCACTGCACCTATCCGGTGTATGTGATAATAAAACATGTTTGTATTATTTTTTTATATGTCCCAACATGGCAGCTGTTGCCATTCTGCCAGCCTGCTTCTATACCATTGATCTTCTCTGTAAGCTTGAGCTGAGGACCTTTTGCTATGTACCACCCCTGTGTGCCTGCTATACTACTAGCTCTCCCTCAGATCTTAGACCTACCCTCTTCTGCACATTCCCTTTAAAGCAACTAGGGACTGTTTGTTTTTAAATGTGTGCTATTCACAAAGTGTCTGCCTTCCATCAAGAGAATTGGCATTGTATTGAGGGCAAAAGCCCTCAATACATTTCAGTGACATGAATTGGAGTTGTGTGTTTTATCATTGAGTAATTGGGAAACGGCAAGGCCAAAACCAAGTAGACGAATGCATAGCTAAATTTTTGCCATAATATGTATTTGAACTGCTACTACTATCCTTAGGCCTTGGAGCTTTAGTGTCCGTTTTAGTCAGGTAATCCTTGCCACTGTGATTGACACCTCTAACCCCTCCCACCTGCTGCACCTGTCTTGCCACAGCAAAAGCCATAGCCAGATTATAGTAACATATTTTTATGTAACAAAGTAGTTATTACTATGAAGTTTTATTTTTTAATCAAAGGTGGTCTATATGTCTTTGTATATAAATGTATAAATAACTGAGAATATATTTAAGAGAAGCCTTTTGGTTCCGCAACACCCTGAAACCGGTTGCATGATTTGAAAAGCAACAGGTTCTGAACAATGTAGTCCATTTGCTATGCAAAATGTTCTTGTGCATGTCTCGTGTGACTGTCTGGGAGTTGTCAAATACATTTTCTGGCATTTTTATCCTTCATTTAGTACATTTGCAAATAGAACATTTGCATCATACTATTGTAGTGAAAATACATTTTTAAATATATATTTTTAGCTTTTCATGTTTTTAAATGGTCATATTTTGCTTTGGTGACAATGTTTTGATATTGGTGTCTAAAGTAAAGACTACTGTGAGTTTGTTGTGTGGCAGCAACAGGAAGTTAGAGCGCTTGAGATAATATCATTGAACTTTCATAATGACAAAGATTATGAAGATCAGCCCTTCTTTCCAGTGTGGACTGAAAGAGGCCATGTTTGACAGACTTAATAAAACACAAGGGTTGCAACTTGGATATATGAAAGCTGTATGCAACTGTTACATCATCATAGATTGGTGGTAACACCCACCCTAAAATAAAGTAGTGCTGTTCCGAAGTTGTGCTAACATAGTTTAACCCCCTTATTGACAGATATTGAAGTATCGCTTATTAACGGTATGTTTTATTTCAACCATATTGCTTTTACACTGATCATATGAGCCAAATGCAAATCTGTTTTGACAGGAGTGGTGGTTTGAGTATCAAACCTATGGTAAAACCCATTCAGCACTGCCCCCTATCCAACAGTAATAGTGTGGGTTTGCAAAGGTGTGCCTCGGTGTATATCTTGCTTCTTACTAGGCTGGTGGTGTTGGTAAGACCACAAGGTAGTTTTGAAGAGGCATAATAATGCATTTTCGATTTAGCCATTAAAAGTTTGCGTGAAAATCATATTTGGAAGTGTTACAAGTTTTTATGCATTGCTTAGTCCTGTGTTCCCCCTATTTTCTGTGGCAGGTTTCCTGTATTTTCTGATTTTGTTTAATACTGCACTGAGGAACATTCCCAACCAAAACTGAAAAGATTATTTGAAGTGATATTTGAATTGATAGGGGATGAGGCCTTTTTTAAATTGGACTGTAGGGCATAGTGGATGAAATGTCTTGTCTGTTTAGAAGGAATCCATGTAGGTGTGGGTAGTATGTTTTGGATTGGGTCTGAAGGGTATTCTGATGAAGTACCAGTTAGTTTCAGGGTCAGTGCTGGCAGTTGACTCGAGAGGTGTGACGATAATATGATCTTCACCTGGTGTGAGAACAGACTTGAAATGCAGAGAAAGTCATTTTATTGTGTTCACTGTTGTTCTGCACTTTGTCATTTGAAAACCCAAGAGCACGCCCACCATTGGTTGTCCTGCTTGATTAGTCCAGGGTGAAGCATGTTTGCTCTACCAGTTGTTTGATTTATAATCTGTGACAATGTTACGCCATGCCTCCATAGAGATATATCGGTCAATTTACCAATATAGTTGGCTTGTTGAAAAATTGTTTTCTTCAGGTAATTATCATGTGTATCCAAAAGAGATAAGGGCAATTTTTTGTGGACATTTTGAATGTGTACACTGCAGATTTTAGTTACTGAGAAAAGGAGCAATATTTGTTCATTATGTTTTCCCCCTCTGTATTAGTTAGTTATACTAAGTGAATTTGTCTCACATCTTGACAATTCTTCACAGCTGCAATTGATGTTTCAGCTGTCATGGCTATAGAGAGCAATAGTAATGTGGTAGGCACTAACGGAGCTAGGCTTACTCTGCCATGTCTCGTTGGCCAAAGCTTATGGAGACTTTTGTTTGTTTTGATAAATGCAAAAAAATAAGGTCTGTGTGGCAAACACAGGCTTAGGAGATCTTATATGTTAAGTAACTTTTTGTGAATTTTGAAGCATTTATGTAATCAAAATAAGCACATTGAGGCTTCATAATTCATAAAGGTCATGTTAACTGGCAGATATTATCTCATAGAACAAAGCCTATAAAATATCCTAAACCTGTGTTAACCTCGGACCTTATTTGCGGCGTTTATCCCCAAACCCCATGTATTTCCTCCATAGGAATGGCTGAACGAACCAGAGGTTTCATTTCCGGTTTTTCGGACAAGGAGGCTCTGCGCTTACAACTTCATAGATCTCTCAGCATCTGTCTGTTATGTCTGTTATGCAATAACGTTGTAGTTGAATACCATGCACCGCAGTAACACAGTGCCAGTAGGGGATGCTGTTGAACGGTGAAGTAACGTGTGATTGGGATCAGTCAGATGGCCATACGTTATATTATTTGCTGTATAATTATTGTTCAGTGTGTTTTACGGTTGTAGTAAAAACATTTTTGCTTCATGTTTAAGGTAAAAAACATATGTATTTTGCGTTTTCAGAGTTATAATTTACATTTTTATTTTACATGTTTATTTTAAACTTGTAATAACCAGGGAACCCATGTCTGTTGTAAATAATGTTCCTAAACCACTGTGCATCTTAAACCTAACAAGAACATATTTTTTAAAGACTGTACTTCACATTCTTTTACAAAAAATAAAGCATTGGGAAAAAAACTGTCAAAGGCTGGTTTTATATTGCATTATTATCCGCGTTGTCATAACAGATTCACTGGTCTCCAGTACAGTGACAGCTGTAAACAAAACCCAACAGCTGCATGCACGCGGGGTTGTCCACCAATTGTTTTTACTCTCGCAATTTCCTTTCCTCTAGTTTTGTCATGGATCTTGCCACAGCAAACACGTTTAAATGCATAACAATAGACGGCAGGAAGTTGCACAAACTAATAACTAGTTTGTATGTATTAGTAAAATAGTAGCGCACAACCAAGGCGCAATTTTCTGTGTTCTGAGAGCGCTTTCGGTCTGTGACACTGGAAGTACGACAGCGTTTTGGTTTCCCATCTCAACCGAATGAGCTGTTAGCAGCTAACCTCCCTGCCAGCAAGAAGCGGACTGATACGACACATCTGCTGGCTCAGAATTAGAAACCGACTA